AATTGAGCAGAGTAGAAAAGCTCAGCTTGCTAATATCAATAAGCTCAAGAACAATCCAGTTAAAGCAAATACCAAACAAGTTCAGCAGGATAAAGGTAACTTCTTTTGAATATTTGGGTCTTAGATTATATCATCTAAGAATGCAACTGAATTGATGGGAAACAATGAACAAGTTATGTATCTGTTCTTAGTTAGTTACCCTTGAGAATGACTCCTTTATCACCTTAAGGCTTAATAGGAGCTGGCCTGAGCATTTTTCTAACTATGGTGTTCGGGCGAGCTTGTGCACAATTCGATTAATTCCACGAGATACTTGCTAGTTGCTACCTCTAACCAACCTAGGTATTGGGTAACTCGGTCTACCAAAACTTGGAAAAGAGCTAAGCTGAGCATTGTGATACCTATACCTATTGTTTGTAATTGTTCTGCCAAACGTATGTTATACTTAGGAATGTAGAATTGTAGATTCTTTTATAATGCTAAACATCTTATATAGGAGTATTGGAGAAATTAAATCAAAGGTAACTCTTTACTTCGATTCCTTTAGAGAAATCTGCAATAATTATTGACACTCTCCCACCACCAAACCATCTGCATAAGCATCTAATACACCTTGTTGAGTAAAAAATTGGACCATGGCAAAATTCGTTATTGAGTTCTCACAAGGCTGGAACAAAGGAAGGGAGCGAGGGTTGGCAAGAAATCCTTAAAGACTTGGAATACTATAGACCAGGGCTCAGGCCATTTAGTGCACTGTCTGAGCTTGAAAGAAATAGCAGAATATTTCAAGGCAAAAGAGAAACATACATAGCCTTAAACAAAAATATATTTTTTGTTAGCTTTTGGGTGCAATCTGGTTATTGTACATGGTGTAGATGTAATGCTAGACAAAATAGAGGGATTCCACATCCTGTAATCATGCCTATTGCACTTGCTTTGTATACAAGTTTATAAATTCTTTTATTACTTATCAAACAATGGTAAACAGATAAAGCAATATTTAACATATTAGTCCCTTTTTCCCTTTTCAATCTCGTCTTATTTGTCTTTAATTGTTCATTCTTAATTCTAACCAAGATTTAAAAAGGACTAATATCAGGGCTGAAATTTGTTCTATCCCAACCCAAGTCAGATGCTTGAGCTAGATGTTGGAACTAAAATTACGAATGTTATGGAATCAAACAGCTTTAACTAGTTAAGTGATTGTCAGTATTATTTGTAGATGCTTAGTGTAGAACAAATGAGTTTGGAGGACAAAGTAGAGACCTCAAGGAGCTTCAATGCCTTCTGCATCTTCTATTCTTTTAAAAAGCGTTTCTTACCATGTTACCAGTGTCGCAGTATTTCACTTAAGTTCTACAATTTCCAAAGTTGTTCAGGATGGACTCTGTGTGCGCTTGGTCAATCTTCCTAAGAAAATGAACATTGATAAGGATCTACGAGTGGCTTTGAAAGGAGTTCCAGGAATAGTCAACATAGTTCCAGTTGTGACTGGGAACAAGAAGACCAGGAATCCTGTTTGCAAAGGCCTGGCCTATATTAACTTCAAGTCTAAGGATGAAGCACAAAGGTAATGTTTATGGCTATACGTAAGAAATAAAAGGGTGAAGAGGTGCCTATTTAATTGTTACCTTTGCATTCTTCCCTAAACTATAGAATGTTTGTAATTGTAGATTTGTGCAAATGTTTTCTGGACGAAGTATAAGTTTTGGTAAGGTTCAGAAGCAAATAAAGTGTGAGATGATAAATCCCGGATCACCAAAGTCCACAACTACAGAGTCCGTTGATAAAATTAAGTATGTTCCTGAACAAGATCTGCACGGAGACCAGGATGATGATTTTGACACAGATTTCCTCTCGGATTCAGAGGAGAACATTTCCACTGACTACGATGTTGCAGAGGTGGAGGATTTATCAGCATACACGAATGATTATGAAGAAAATTCAGAAACTTTATCTGCAGAGTCCACTTCGGGTTATGAGCAGGATGTTGGAGAAGAGTCTGAATTCTCAGAACAAAAGAAAGTCGAAGCAAAGGAGAAGAAGAAAAAGCCTAAGCAAAAGAAAGAGCAGGTCCCAAAATTGAATATTCCAGGATCTGCGCGCAAGTAAGTTATAGGCTCATGATATAACATACTATTGTACTTTTGTTAACCTCATTGCATTGTTTTCACTTACCAACTGCTGCAATGTCATGCAGGTTGAAAATTAAGGAGAAAGCTGTACTCACTGGAGTTTTATCCAAATATGCACAAAAGATACCGTCTTGACTGTGAAAAAACCCGAGCTAACAATGGCCAGCATTCACATTTCTGTAACGACAGTATCTGGGTTATTGTTACTTACACTAGCGTAGTCTTTGCAGTTGTTCTTTTTGTAGATTTATTGTTCACTTCAATACTAAGGTCAGGTTTGTTGATTTCTTGTACGTAAATGTTAGTATCTGAATGAATCAACGGAAACAAATAGTGTGTTGATGCATATGGCTGGTTTTTCGTTGGTGTAGAGTAGCAGGTTTTGCAATGTTTGATGATTGTGGAAGTCATTCCCACTATTCTTTGGGAAACATTTAAAGTGATTCAATTGTGTCCCAGTTTCTTCTTTCTATGAGACATTGCACGTATACTCGTGTTAATTCTCAGAACTGAGACATCGAATCAGTTCGTACACTTCAAATATATATGTATGCCAAAACACTGCTGTTTTCTACAGCTGCAGAACTTCCAAAATATGTAATTGCAACAGATCAATTCATATTTCGTGCATTCAACCCCAACATCTAACTTTTATGTCAACTAAGAAAACTTCAACATTTCATTAGGCTACCGAGTCTGCCCAAGTAACCTAGGACTCGAATATATGTGAGGTCCAGAATTTATAACTACAGAGCAATCAAATGTTGCAGCACAAGCTGGAGTTTAATTTGCAGTACAGTAGATTCAGCACAAAGGCATGTCTTGTAACAAATACAGGTGAAGCTTTTTTCTATCAAAAAGTTGGCCATAAATGTATCAAGGCAGAGGAAAGACAAGACATTCAACGGCTAATAAGTGTCAGCTAACACGCTTCAATAACATTTCAGAAAAAAAATGATCTTCCTCCCTTAAACAACATACCTAGTGTAATCCCACAAAGTGGAGTCCAGTGAGGGTAGAGTGTACGTAGAGGTAGAAAGGTTGTTTCCAATATCTTCCTCCCTTAAACCTTGTTATTATATTCCCTTTTTCTTTCAAAAACAATCAGAGAGATGGAAAAAAAATGATTCAGACCAGTGAGATCACAGGTCAACATTAAGCAGTGAAGGCATAGACGCATCAGCCATACAACAAGTAGGAGTTTGTGGGAGGTATTATGCCATCATCAAAACAGGTTTGAGTGAAATAACAAGTACTAAGAAGGAAAAGAAGCAGGGACCTTAGTGAAATGAAGTCCACAAGTCTAGGACTGATAGAATGATGGTTGAGAAGCTCGTGTACACGAGCTATTATAAAGACTAAACCAACTATTAACATGATGCATACCTCAAATATTCACCTATTAGGCCCAAACTGCTATAAGAAAAAAACAATCTCTTAGAAATGCATTATGCATTTTAGTCAGCAGTGTTAATAATGCTTCTTCTGTATTTGAGAAGCTTTGACTTTTGAAGGAAAAACCAGCAACCAGCTAGTAGAAGTTCCATGTATCTATTATAAGACAGTTTGATAGAAGGCCTAATGCATATAAACCATGCTGGACTATCCATGGATTGAGACAGTCATCCTCTCAAAGCTATTCATACAAGCAAATCAAAAAGGGCGTGGAGTTGAAAGCATTATGGCAACTCCACGCTTGACCCTCATCCAAAATAAGGAAACCGATAGTTAATATGAGCTTGAAAAGTACAAGAACGAGAAAGGTGTAACACCAAAGCCATAAGTACATCATGAATTGATGAAATGACATAACAAGGAATACAAGTGTAACTTGAACCATTTTTTTTTATTTTGATGACCGTGAAGTGTAACTTAAACAAATTTTCTAAAAAGAATTAATATGGGACTTGAGAAGGAAGACAAATCAAATGAAGGAACAATTGAAACAAAAAGTGGAAGAAATGTTCGGAAAAAAAGACTTTGACACAACTGTAAGAAGATCCATCAACTAAAGAAACAAACATGTTGTTTGCCCATTCTTTCTCACTGGGAATATGTTTCCATCCTTTCACCAGATAAGTTCAACCATTTTAGAAACCCTTTCACTAAGAAGTTAGAAGTGTATCCATTGATATGAAGTAAATGAACTTCCGTAAAGCGGAACAGACATTCATATAGTTCACCCAACTAATTGATATTAATAATTAGTTAAGTGACAAGTTCATCAAATGAATAATTTTTCTTATAAAGTGCCCTGGTTGAACATGAAGACAAATGCCTCTGCTATTCATCCTTAAAACCTAACAAATAATATGATACTAGGAAATTTGCAACTAAAACATAGCTAAAATGCAGCTTCCTCTAGCAACAGTTTTCTACCATACATTCAAAGAACCAAATTGCACACAGTTCATATGCTCCAAATCTATCAAAAGCCAAAAACACCCAAATCAACTTCTGTTACTTCTACTCTAGCAAGATTATCATGGTATCAGTCTCGCAAAAAGAGTGATGAACTAAAACCATTCAGAAAACTCCTTAAAGCCACAAACTAATTTCTTTTCTTCAACAAAGATAAGCTGGGATCTTATGCAGATAAACCACTTACTCATAACATAAGCAATGAAAACAATTTTACTATGAATTCATGAGATCCAAAATTGCATACATTTCAATAATCAACATCTAACAAAAGCCACAAATACCCAAATCAACTTCTGTTACTTCTACTCTAGCAAGATTATCACGTATCAGTCTCGCTTAGAGAGAGATAAACTAAAACCATTCAGCAAATTCCTCAAAGCCACAAACTGATTTCTTTTCTTCAGCGAAGATCATATGCAGATAAACAACTTACTCATGACATAAGCAAAGACAACAATTTTCTACTAAGCATTCATGAGATCCAAGATTGCATACAGTTCAATAACCAACATCTACCAAAAGCCACAAATACCCGAAACAACTTCACTTACTCCTCTTCTACAAACAGTGTCATATGTCAAGCTCTTTAAACTAAATCCATTCAGAGAAATCCTAAAAATAACATAGTGCTTATTAAAACAAAGATAAAGGCTAAAACTTTCAGCGAAGATAAGCTGGGATCTTGATACGGATAAACAACATACTCATAACATAAGCAATGACAACAAACACAATCCCAGCTGATGCAAAAGAAACCTTGACACTCTTTTCTCGGTTTTTATCAGTTGCCAAATCCAAAAGCACAATCCCAATACCACCTAGTACGAACATGAATCCAGAAGAGAGTCCTTCAATAATATACTGACCATTAACTCGACCCGGAAGAAACACCACTGGTTTAACAGCTCCGGTGAACCGGTCTTGGGTTGATCCAATTCCCGGAGGTTCAACAATGACGTCATAAACGATGCCAGAGACGACCATGAAATAGGTAAGAAGGATAAGGCTGAAAACTGTCATGGCAGAGGGAAGAGTCACCGTTGGGATTTTCAGACGGAGCTTTGGAGGGCGGAGGAAGGAGAATGGGAGAACACGGAGGATGTGGAAAATTGGGTCGATGGAGTAGTCATCAGACGGATCGGAAAATTGGGTTTTGGCGGTGGATGATGCCAGTTGGGTTTCGGATTTGGGTGGCATTCTTGATTTTCCGGCGGTGGTTCGCGGTGGCCCTGGGCTAAAAGATGGACAAGTAGATTTGCTACTTTTTTTTACGTCAATGAATTTATTTTATTGGAAGAAACACAACAAGGAAAATATTATGGTGCAGCCCATTTGAGTGTAATTTGGGGGAAAATGCACAAATAGCAATTTTTATTTTTAAAAAAAATGAGGTTATGAAAGGGTAAATGGGCAGACGATTACAAGATATCAAATCAAATTCTCGATAATAAGGTGAAAGTTAAGATTTCTCAGATATAAACTTTTTACTTTACTAAAATAAGAGATTTTTAAACATAATATAGTTGTATAAATTGTGTTATTTATAAGTGAAATTTTATCGTATTTTGATTACTGTCACATATTCATTATGATCTCGCATACCTCCGTAACATTTTTCATGACTTTTCATACTCTCACAATTTATTTTATGATCTCAATAATTAATGTCATGTTTAAAATCATAAATATACTTCATCTAATAGTATAAAGGCTATACTCATCAAAAGAAAAATTATTATTTGAAATCCATTAATGTGCCCAAGAAAAGTGAGCAATATTTTGTTTTTAACCATGTCACCATTTTGTATCTAATGTGAAAATCTTGAATAGATTATGAAATTAGATATTTAAGGAAAAATTCGTGTCGACTTTAAGTGTCAACTAATGGGTTCAAAGTAAGAAATAAGGGCATGAGATAAGTATGAAATTTTAGGTATTGTTACACTTGAAAAACATTTGAAAGAAATAATAGTCACGCACGAATTTATATTATGAATGTGGCCAACACTTAGAACCACTAATTGCCGTAGTGGGCTCTTGATATGTCTACTACTAAACTAAATATTACAACAATAGTGTGAAAACTTTTTAAAAAATGAGCGCAAGCAATAATTTTAGAGAAACAAAAACAAACTCAATAGCTTTAAAGTGACAAAACTGAAATCTAAATAATAAAGATGTTTGTAAACGAATTGAAACTATGGCACAACTGACTCGTCTATAAAATTTCTAATATACTGAAAATAGGTGTCGAGTCAGATCCCAGGCAGACTACCTTAATACTCTACAAGCTAGGGGCGGAAGCATATGCAAGTCAGGGTGTTCAATAGGCCACCCTCCGTCAGAAAAAAATATTGTATATACAAGTGAAATGATAAACGAAGTGATTAAATAACATATTTTGGACACCCTTAACATAAAAGGCTATTGTAGCCCAGTGGCTTCAGACCCTTTTAATGGGTTTTAAACGGATTGAATGAGCCAGTGCTTGCGTGTTTAAATCTCACTAGCAATAAATTTTTTTGTTGTGTAATTTATGGACACCCTACGTAAAATTTCAAGCGTCTACTAAATACTCTAGATAAATTGGAGCCCTCTAAAAGAAAAAAGGCCTCACCAATGATGAATGAGAGAGACTCTAGTGGTGCGTCTATTGTCAATTCTAAGTACTTGAATATGCATAATTCAAAGATGCAATGTAGAATGACGTCACTATATGAAATGTATGCTATGTAAGATAATTGAATAACTCAATTGGCTAAAGACTGAAAATACTGAGCTGAAAGAGCAACGTAATTATGATGATAAACATTAATAAATAAAGTCAATTGAATAGTAAAGCATGCATATGCACTTTAACAATAAAACGTTACAACTAAAAATATGCATTAATAACAAAAATTGAAGTACACATATATCTTTAGTCTGTTTGGGAGTTTCTCGAATCGATAACCGTCTCATGAGCCTCATGATGATACAACGTTCAAACTATTCTTTGTCAGGGTATAAAACGAAAATTTAACTTATGGATACAAATCTAAGCCCTTACCAGAGGTTAATTGAAACTATATGTACATGGCATGAGGAAAAACTGAGTTCCTCACTATAATAGTCTTACATACTCAAATGCTTCAAACCTTGATGGAGATCTACGAAGAACTGCTTTTGGAACTTAAGAATTGATTCCTTCAACGATTCCTAGGTTTGTGTATCAAAAAACGCATTAAAATCCTTAAGTTTGGGTTAGAAACCGTTTGATTAACCTTACGAATGAAGAAGAAAACTTACCCAGTCTTTGAATGGTGTATTTCATCTCATAGGCCGTGAGAAAAAGGTAGACTTGAAAAATGAACTAGAAAATGACTAAAGGTTTCTCTTTATGGTCGTTTGCGAATTGCGGTTCACATTTGAGAATGACGAGCCTCATTTAAATTATGAACCGTGAGTTTTTAAGGATTCTCATATCTTTACTCCACAATTGAAATTATGAGCCATCTTTTCGTCCACAGATCTACTAAGTCGCCATTTCCTTAGAGAGTTTGATAACCCTCAGGTGGATTTCCACGTATGACAAGACAAACACGCTTTCATCACCAAGATGCATACATAAAATTCATTGTTCACAAGTAGTCATTTAAACTTGTCATTTTCATGACCCTTAACAAATACATAAACATGGCCCTTGTCTTGGCTTCAGTGAACAACTATGCCCTCCAACTTTGAGTGTGCACTAGTAGACACTTAAACTTGTATAAAATTGAACAAGTACACACACGTGTCTTACATGTCATAATACATATAGGACGCCATGTAGGGTGCATGTAGGATGAATGTGTTCATTTGTTCAATTTTATACAAGTTTAAGTGTCTACTTGTGCACATCCAAAGTTGTTCAAAGGCTATAAAGTTATGTAATAAAGAAGATGATATTTTAAAGTTATGTAATACATGTCATTTTTAATATAGCAAACAAAATCGTCAATAAATTATCATACTAAAATAACTAATTCCAATATTATTTATCTTCAAATCAAACGACTCATTGTTTTCCCTTGACATTTATTATATTTATCACTTCAATAACATTTTTGAAAAAGATTAAGTGCACCTCTATTTTGCTTCTTTCCTTTTTTAGTAAAGAATTTTAAAAATACATCAAATTAGATCACACAACAACCCGTCAACCACTTATCAACATTGATATATACTCAATATGATTTTCTTCATACAAATTTTTGTTTTCATTGTCAAATTCTTCTTTTATTTCTGCTAAATGAAAAATATTTAAAAAATTAAGGACGAATAATCAGAGTTCATTTTCCTCTTCAATTGGTGGATAAAAGATCAAAACAAGATAACTAAACTGGAACCAGACCGGATTGAAATTAACTAAACCCAACCGGGTTAACTAGCCAAAAAAAACCCCACCCAAAGGCTAAAACCGTACTACCACTGCTGCTGAAAAGTTACACCTACCCACCCCCACCCACCCCACTCATCCCCTACCCCACTACCCCATCTCATCAACCCTCATCTCACCCATACTCTAAACACCCTCGCACCCACTCCACCCACCCACCCACCCACCCCCATCTCTCACACTTACACTCTCTCCATGCGTTCTTGTTCATGCTTCAAGGTCCTACTCAAGAACAGGTCAGTCTCATCTGGTAATTGAGGGGTATGTATGTTTTCTCTGTTTGTTAAAATCTTCGATTTGATGACCCCCACCCCAAATTAGGGTTCAAAATTCGTTAAAAGTCTATTCTTTTTCGATTTTCTGAATACCCTTTACAGTTTTGCTCTTAAAGTTTGCATTTTTATGGAGTTTGGAAGTTCTATTCTTGGTTCTGTGCAACCCCTTTTCAGCTTGGTCTTGTATTGTTAATATAATGTGGACACATGAAAGACTTTTGCTTTTTCCAAAGCATATTGACTCAAAGTTTGGATTTTTGGGGCTGTAGGAAGAAAAATCCTTCATGATATTCTTGAAAATTCAACCTTTAAGCTGTCTATTATATGTGTTGGTAAAATAAAATGGAATATTGTTTTTTTTCTTTTAATGATGCAAAAGGGGAAAGTAGCTTGTATCCTATTTAGTTTTTGTTGTTGTTTGAATTTGGACTGTAAAATAAACAGGCAATTTAGTTCTTATAATCAATCAGTGTAATTAAAAAAAAATTTCTTATAATCAATCAGTCAACTTGGTTGAGTTCAGAGTATAGTTGTGCACAATGGGATTTATTAGTTAGACAAATTTCGCTCGGTGATGTTGTGTCTATAGAAGTGGAAGAAAGTAAAGAGTGGATGAAGAATAAGTTTCTCTGGTCTGAAGGTTTTAGGGAAAATCACTCACACATAACATGTCTTTTGATAAGCGAATTGTAGTTCTTTCTTTTGTTTATACTTTGTAGTTTTGGAACTTTTGGATTTTCTTTGAGTTACTTTTACAGATCTTCTTCTGTTGATTTCCTTGATTTTTCTTTGGAATTGCAGCTTCTAATCTTGGAACTGTTCAATCTCTTCGCAGCTGAGTCTGATTATGTCTGGAGGAATCCTCCCTAATTTGCCTGTAAATAAAACATTTAACTCTGGTTTGCTATTCTTTATTTTCTAGCTTATGTCATTAAGTAGAAGAAAAGTTAACATTTTTAAAAAAGCTTCTTCTTTTGTCATTCAACAAACAAAAGGTGCAGAAATTGGGCATAAAAAAGTTCTTATAAAATACAAGTCTCTGATCTTAATGGAGTTTATTTTAGAATTCCACAAATTATTAGCTGTACACTTTTTCACTTGGTCATGTTGTGTATGTAGAAATGGAGGAGAGGAAATTAGATGAAGAATAAGTTTATTTTCTTCTCTTCAAATGGATTTATATATTAGTTGAACGAGCAACGATACAGTTTTCCATTTTCCCTTTTTGTTTTCCAGAAGTTGGTGAATCTGACTGAAGTCCTGTGGAATGAACAGCTTGTTTCATGCATGTTCAACTGCAATATTAACAAGGACTAGCCATCTTGTTGTGAAGAGTTCAATCTGTGGATTTCCATCTCTTTCATGGAAGACAAGCGTTGGTCATGCTAGAATTAGAAAAGTTGATTCCAACTTGTATTTGAATAGAGTTTCTGTTTGTTGCTATTCGTCCAAAAAACATAGTGGAGATAGTTCTCCATCGCAGAATTCTGATTCCACTCCAGAAATGAAAGAAGAGAGAGATGGTTTCTTTGTTGTTAGGAAAGGAGATCTGGTTGGAGTCTACAAAAACTTGAGTGATTGCCAGACCCAAGTTGGATCATCGGTAACTACTGTTATTTCAGCCATTTATTGATCTGTTGTTGAATCGTTCTATTGTTTGTAGATGACTTTTATCCCCAGGGAAGATATAAAGACACAATACTATTCATCAGAAATTATCCATACATTATGTACAAAATTACTTTTTCATATTCTTGATGATTAATTGACATAGGTAGATTCAGCCAAAAAGTCAAAACCTTGTGTAGTAACAAGATTACCTTATTTTTTACTCTCTCCGTCCATTTTTACTTGTCCAGCATTGACTTGGCACACCCTTAAGGAGCAATTACTAGAATGACAAAATTTACGACATCAACCTTTTTTTTTACTACATCAACCGTTGAAAGTAATAAACTTAATATTATGGGAAATGCACTAGAAAATGACTGGTTAATAATAAGGAGTCGTTTGGTTTGAATTCAAGTTATGATGGGATTAGTTATGATGGGATAAGTTATAATGAGATTAGTTATGATGGGATAAGTTATGCTAAGATTAATTTTTATTGAGTGTTTGGTTTGTTGTATTTAAAATAATAAATCTTAAGAACAACATGTAAGTTTACAAAAATACCCTTCATGGATGTGAAAAGTAATGTATAAAAAATGTTTAAAGGGATAGTTTTGTCATTTAGTCATTTTATCCCGGGATTACTATACCACCCATGGGAAGGGATAACTTATTCCAGTACTAATTATTAATCTTGGGATAAGTTATCCCGGACTTGCCAACCAAACAACAAATTAAGTGGCACTATAATTTAATCCCAGGATTATTTTAAGTTATCCTTCACACCAAACGACCCCTAAGGGTAAATTAGGAACTAAGTGATAAGTTACCTCTTGGTTTTCTAAACTGCACAAGTAATAGTGGACGAAGGGAGTAACTGCAATTTCAGATAAGCTCATTGAGTGACTGACAATTGTTAAGGAATGCTCTAATTGAAAGCGGAGGGTAGTGTAAGAAATTATGTCTTCTATATGTTATTCTTTTGTCTCATTGTATTTGTGAAACAATATCTGTGAATATTCAGAGGATAAAAGAAAGAGGTAAATTGAGTTAATTGTTTACCCTTCCATTAGAAAGTATTTTTCCTAAGTTCTCTATTCATTTTCTGCAATCACGCCTTCTCCATATTGTTAGGATTTCTCTGTCACTTCATCTGCCTATTGCCAGGTGGCGTACTTGAGAACATGTAGTACGGATAGATAGGTCTTCTGCAATAATTGGACGATGCTTGTGAGATGACTTCCCAGTGGGTTCATAGACTTCATACACATATTATAAGGGGTCAAATCTTGTGAAACTTTGGTTCATCCTTGGTGCTGCAGGCTTATTTTAGTGAAATCTAGTTATAACAAATAAAATATTAGTATATAAAAAAAAAAAAAGATGTTATCACAATGAAGTTTCCAGACTTGCAATTGATATAATGAGTTGTTTTCTCTTTCTCTTCTGTTTCTGGCAGATATGTGATCCTCCTGTTAGTGTGTACAAAGGCTATGCCATGCCTAAGGACACAGAAGAATATCTTCTTTCTTGTGGGCTTAAAAATGCTCTCTATTCTATCAGAGCTGCAGATCTTACCGAAGATCTCTTTGGGACTCTAGTACCATGCCCTTTTCAGGTATAGTTCCTGAGCAGTTCTCTTGGATTAAATTTGTTCCTTTTTTCCAAAGGTGAATATTTGATTTCAGAACTTGTTGACTATGAGGTTTCATATACAGATTTCCTGTCTCTGGGAAAAAGAGGCTTTGAGGCTTCATCATTAGAATGTATATTTTGCAACTTAATATCAGTTTATATTTTATATTACTCTCAAAAGAATCACACGATACTGTTAAAAACAATGAGCTAAAGAAAAACTGGAATTGTCATGTTTCCAGTGCAGCTGATCTCCAGAAACAAAACCATGAGGTTCCTGGCTAAATTTGTGTCTTCTGTCTAGAGAGTCTGATCCTGCTTTGGCCAAACTTCTTTTGAAAAACCGAGGGTCTATCGGAAACAACCTCTCTACCCCATAAAGGTAGGGGTAAGGTCTGCTTACATCCTACCCTCCCCAGACCCCATTTGTTGGATTACATTGTGTATGGTTGTTGTTGCCTAGAGTGTCTGAAAACTTTACCTGTTAAATGTTAGAGTTTTCATATTCCAACCACAATGACTAGATTGAAAGAAATTTTTTCAACTTTAAAACTTGGCTTGTGCCTTAATGTTATAGCATGAATGAAAAACTTCCTGACACACCTATTCTTTAAATAAAGAAAGTTAATGATTTTAGTACAACACCCTTACCATTTCAATAATGGTACAAGGGAAAACTGCGAGAGCTTCTTAATCGTCATGCATGGTAGACATACTTCTTTCTGTTTCTTCTATATTGTATATCAAGGATTATCTCTGAATGCTGATACAATATCAGTAGTTTTGTATTTGGCCCATTTAATTTTCTACTGCGTATCTTCATGTCCACATTATAGTTAACTAAAGATCGACTAAGGGGGTGTTTGGATTGGCTTTTTTAAACACCTCCAAAAATAAGAATGTTTAAAAGCCAAAAGCTACTTAAAATAAGCCAATCCAAACAACCTCTACAACAATCATTGCCTCTCCATTCTCTATTTCTTTGATTCTTCTCTGTTTGTCTCTCTGAAAGTTCTTTTGATTTTGCTCTCTCCATGCACCCTTTGCTTTATATGGAATTGCTGGTCAGTTGTATGCTCTGATAGTTATCTTAAAATTGCAGCGCCCAGAAAATAATACATGTTTCTTCTTCCCTCATTTTCTTATATTATTGGTCATACAGCTTTATTAGTATTTCATATTTTGCAGCAACCTTCTTCTTCAAAAAGTGGAACATCTGATCATTTGCCAAAGAAAAGGCCACAGGAAGCAGTGTGGTCAGAATATGCGGTAAGATGGTTGTATATCGTTTTGCAGTGGAAAAGTCTACCAGGGTTTGCAGCAATTTCTTCTGAAGTTGTTTCCACTTTACTCTACAATCCAAGTTTAATTACTTTTCTCAATCATTTTCCAAACAGGGTTTGGTTCCTAAGGAACTCAATGTACTTACATATTATGCTTGCATGCACTTCAATTTATAGATTCCTTTCTAGAATTTTCCTTGAGATGCCATAACTAATGGTTTCGCAGCTTCCAGTTTTTTCTCACAAGTTGGTCTTCTTTGCAAGTTCAATTTTTATTCTCATTCGTTATGAGAGAATTCTAGGGATCTTTCTTTTATGTCTGTGTGGCCCAGTTTTTTAGAGATACAATGATCATTTCATAAGGTGGTAAGTCTCAAACATGGAAGTACTAGGAACAGCGTGATTCTGAAAACCTATTCCCACAGCATTGCCTAGTAATGCAGGTGTAGACCTGGAAAAGATAATTCGGGTAAGTGGTACATTTACCAGAGATGTAAAAGAAAATTTCTCATGATAATAGGCTTCAGAAAGAGAGAAAGAAAAGCAAGGTTACTTGTACATGCATCTTACAGGAAGTACTCCATAAAAGGATGATAAAGACAACAGATTAGTCTTCTTCCTCATAAAAAGTTTCTTAGTCACATGAAATTAATCAACTTTTATTTGTGTGTCTCTCTCTTTGTCACCATTGCATTAACCTTTGCACTAAATCACGAATCGGATCAACTTGATATCGTTTGATGGCCTGAGATAATACTTTACCATGTTTGTGCATTGATACTGGCATACTGCATAGTGGTTGATGTCTGTTTCTCTTTCCTTTATTTCTTTTAAACTGGAACTTCCCCATTGATGAAAATTTTCATATAATGATTCAAGGTTATTTAGGAAGAAATTAAGAGTAATTATCCCTTGAGTTTTTGGGCAGTGTAGCTATATGACTAGATGGGAGATCTTTTTACTTTTTTCTTTATTGGAGCTAAGGTCGTCGAAATTGGCTAATTATTGTTGTGTGCTTGCTTAGAGCCTTTGTAGGGGTTTGCAAATGTTTGGTGAAGTTGAAAAAAAGAGTATTTTGAAGTTAACGTTGAAAAAGGAGTATTTGGAAGTTGTCGGTAATTTTATTTGTCAACAAAAAGGCAAGACTTAATATTTTTGAGAAGTCTGCATTAAGTAAAGTCTTCCGTTGAGTAAGTAAGTTAAATATCTTTAAAAAAAAATAAAAAAAAGTCTGCATTAAGTATGTCAATAGAAAATGTTGTTGCCTTTTGGGAATAGACCATCTTGGTGGTGTTTATTCTACATACAATTGGATGAATTGCAACATGTTATTGTACAAGAGGCACATAAAAGTTGCAGTCAGTGGATTGTTTTCTTTGCAGTATTTTGTTCTACTACCGGCCTTTTTGCAAAGATTGTTATTTATATTGTATTAAAATAGTTGTAACGCTGATCAGTTACATTTTTTGCATGAATAAACTGTGTTTGGCTCAACACTGTTATGGAAATTACTTTGTTTATTGGCATCCCCTTTGCAGGATGCTGTTGGATCAGCGGTTGTTTCAAATGATTCCGCAAGAAAGCATGTCAAGTTAGAACAACAAAAGGGCGACCAAGTTCTAGCTCTACCATCTGGTGTGAGTGTCTGTTAAGATGATGGCTAATCTTTAAGCATAAATAACTTCTAAATGTGTAGTTTACAAAGAAAATGAATTTATACTTAATGGTAGGTTGGCAGGAGCAAAATCCTATTTTTTTACAGATTAATGGTGTAAACTTAACTCTCTGTGGCAAACTATCAGGCTAGGATCTTATTATTTTTCTTGTTGGTTTGTGTTCTGGTACAAAGAATCTGATAGTTGTTATCCTTAGCAGCGGTCATGTACTCTTGAATTCGATGGTGCTTCAAAGGGAAATCCTGGACAAGCTGGAGCGGGAGTTGTTATACGGGCGGATGATGGAAGCATGGTAATGATCACTAAATTTGGAATTGTACTTTTGCCTTGGGTTCTTCATACTTGTACTGACAACCTTCCTTCTAATAGACCCTCAGGCTACGTGAAGGTTTAGGAGTGGCAACAAGCAATCATGCTGAATACAGGGCCTTTATTTTGGGTTTGAAACATGCTCTTAGAGAAGGGTTTACAAGTATTCGTGTTCAAGGTGACTCCAAGCTTGTTTGTATGCAGGTTTGTTTTCTATATCATGTGCTCAGTCACGTATTTCTCCTTTCCCTTGTGTGAGATTATTCCTTTATGGTACACTGCAGTATACATGTCACATTCTGTTGACTGTTTTAAGTGTGATCTAGTGGTGTATGAAGTTGGTTGATAACCATGAGGTCTGGCGTTCAATTCTCCACTGAGACAAAACATTAGGTTATTTCTTCCCATCTATCCAAACCTTGGTGGATAGAGTTAGTAATCTGGTACCTGTGCTGGTGGGAGGTAGCAGGTGCCCTGTCCGTTTTTGATGGGACAGCACAGTTATAAAAAACGTAATTACATTCTTTAATCTTTTAGCTGGAATAACTGGATTTGAAGTGATTAATTTCATTTCATAGTGCCATTTCCTCATGTCTCTTCTGCTTTGTATTTTTCGTCTGTATGGAATAAGTTTCTTCTGATCTCTCTGGCATATCGTAGTCATAATTTCCTTGTGAACTAACTGAACCACCGTGTTAGAGAAGAAAGAAGAAAAGCTTTTCAACTTTTATTATGGTTAAATCAGTAGTTATCACCCAAAAAAATATATTCATGCGTAGGTCAGCTACCACTGTCAACTCAAGTTCAGTGTAAGTGCAGGACAACATATGATTTAAAGAATGGAGAATTTTAACAAATATTTCGAGATTAGTAATGATTTTATGCTTTAGCGATGATACTAATGAAGGATGAGCTGAAATGAGTTGGCAAAATAGGAAAAATTCAGAAGAGGTAGATTCCTGATACTGTGAAAAGGTCGAACCTAGAAAAAGTCTCATTTTATCTCAGTGGAAAAATATTTGACAAGCTATAAGGATCTGATGAGAAGTTCTTTTGCTCAATATTGCTCGGGTTCTCCAAAAGATATGCCACCTCCGTGTCGGATCCTTCAAAAGGCACTGTTTGAAACTCTTGAAGAGTCCGAGCAACATAGCTTTTGCTTATTAGCTGTCCTCTATTCTTAGTTTATTTGACTTTAATCAGATTGTAATTTGCCAAACAGATCCAAGGTCTGTGGAAGGTTAAAAATCAAAACATTGCCCTGGTGTTTGAGCAGGCAAAACAATTGAAGGAAAGGTTCCTTTCTTTCCGCATCATTCATGTCCTTCGGGTAATACTGTAACATCCTTCTCTTCTTTCATTCACACAACATAACTTCAATAATAGCGTAAAAACTACATATATTCCTCATGTCTGGAATTATTACCTATCTTCTCCTTGACGATTTTTATAGCACTTACTCTTTTGTTTTATAGGAATCAAACTCTGATGCAGATCAGCAAGCAAACTTGGCTGTTGAACTTCCTGGTAAGAGTTACTTTCTTGCACACTCGGAATTTGTCATTTTTATAGGTCATGGAAGTTATAATCTAACTACATCTATTAATACAGAGGGTCAAATTCAAGAGGAGTTAGAGAAATGACAAAGCCACACTGATGGTTTTTCGCGTACATTGCAAAAATGTACAGACTAAGGATTTATTTATACTCCCAGCATTCTTACCAACCTAAAGAAGGTTTGTGCTATGAAACCAGTGGATCATTTAGCGTCCTCTTTGGATTAATGTTATTGCAATTAGGAATTATGTAAATGTATTTGGAACAAATGTTATCATTGTTACCTTTAAATTCTCAGCAATGGGTCTGTCTGTGCTCTAGATACTCGCGAAATTATCGATCCAAATTATGTCTCTCTCATTTGTAAGATTATATGTGTGTGCATCAAATAAGTGGTAAGACTCATTGAACTGTGATACATTTAATAGAAATAATGACTAAAACTGTTTGACTAAGTTATTCGTTCTCTCTCTTTTCCGTCAATCAGATTTTATTTCTTTATTTTTTACTCTACCAAAAAAAATAATTATTTATTCATAAAAGATTATATCGATAAGACAAATCAATTTTATTAATTATATTTTGAAATTTTAAATTTGAGTAGCTATTACTTTATATAGTGATTTTTAATGATTAAAAAAAAATAGGAGTATTGAATAAAATAATAAACATGTTTTGATTTGATAAAATATAAATAAAATACTCCAATAAAGTTAAACAAAAATCTCTTGGAAATGATCCTCATATATAGAAGTTTTTAGAACACTTGACATGATGAATTAAATATCTACCGTTGGATAAGTTCTTCGAAGAACCGTAGATGCTTGACACGTATGCAAGTACTGCGTCCCACGCTATTCTCTTTCCATTTTTTTTAAAATAGAGAAAAGTCTCGAGAAAACTGAAATTCTTATGCTTCATTCATCTGCGATGAAGATTTTGATGATTAGGAGGGGTTTACGGTTACTGGCCACCGGAAATTTGAACTCCTCGCCGTTGATTTACCGGCGGCATTCTTCTCACTCGACGTCCTCTTTCTCTAGTTCGTCTCGGTTGAATGCTAACTTCGCCGCAGATGATTTGCTGCTCGGCGATCAATTAGCTACCTTGGCTTCCAAAGCGGAGATTGCTCCGAATCTACTTCAGCCTGGTGTCGTTGTCTATGACGGCGTTTGTCATCTTTGTCACAACGGTATTAATTTATCATCTTCCTAGTGTATGTTTATTCGTGCTTTTAGATGTATACTGCATTTGTGCTTTGATTTATGACTACAGTTGAGTATCGGAGGTTGTAAATGAGTACAGGAGTGCGATTATTGTACAGTTTTTTGTGTTTGTAGTTACATTTGCTATCATCAATTTAGTTTTGAAAGTGAAATTATTAATTTGGCATGAGGATTTATTGAGGTTGGTATAGCCATGGCTATACATGTACATTTAAGTCTCCAGTCATAGGCTTCACTTGTGATTTTTTTTTTTTTTAGCTTGATGACTTGAAATTTGAATTTAATTTTTGTGGTAAAGGTGGGAGTTCTGCTTATCTGATGTGAAATGGTTATCATTTGATTGTCGAGAGAGAAAACATCCAATGTGCACTTGCAAGCTCAAGTTGTTGTATCGTGTATTCTATGTCCTTTGTGACACATGTATCCTTTAATAATGTATGAGTTGTACAGCATGATAGTTAAGACAACTTTCTCAGTTTTGAACAAAAATGTAAAAATGTAGTACATGAAGTTTCGAAGTTGGAACCCAAAGCTCCTCAGCCATTAATTGCTGCTTTATCTCTTTTTAAAAGAAAAAATATAATGACAAAACTACTATGTTTCAGTGACATATCTAATCAACTTGAATAGGATTTTAAGATTTGTCACGATCTTTCACATAAATTAGTAGGCAGGAAGATGGTAGGAGCCACCATTTTGAGAATTCAAGCAACGTAGCTTGCTTACTGTCCTAGTAGTGTATTTTGGCAAGCATTTAGAAAGTGACAAGTCACTTTTGGGCAAAGTTTACTTGTACAAACCGAAGAACAGAAAGTTAGTTTATAAGAGAAATCTTCATTAATGTCTCATTGCCTCAACTAGTTTGGGATTGAAGCATAGTTGCTTGACTGTCTCATTGGATGATGGGGAAATGGTTATTCTTTAGGTCTAAACTTCCGTTGGCATAGACACAGGAGCGGAGGGGTACATGCATAATTGGTCGTCTCAGTTTATATGAGCTTCTTGCCATTTTATATGTAGGTGTGAAATGGGTGATTAAAGCTGACAGGGATAAGAAAATCAAGTTCTGTTGCTTGCAGTCAAAGGCTGCTGAACCTTACATGAGTGTGTGTGATCTTGATCGAGATGACGTTCGTCGTCGCTTCTTATTCATTGAAGGCCCAGGTTTATACCATCAAGGCTCCACTGGTTAGAACTATTACCCTGTATTACTGTATCAACTTGACTACCTCTTCATTGTGGTTTCACAATTATTGCCATTATATAAATATTTTTTCTTATTTTTGTATGTCCAAGTAGCATCTAAACTTTTCCACGAGAGCCTGGCTAACTTGTAAACGCAATGCATCTGACTGCTCCCGAGTTGTCCTTTCATGAACTACACAATCATTCTTTGACAAGAAATTGTTTGCAAATATACTATGGCAGATAGCTATGATAAATTTAGTTTATGAAGTTTGCTTTACGTAGCGCTCAACATTCTGGTAATTGGATATTGATGGGTATCGGCTTGAGCTAATTGTTAGTGTAATGAGATATGTGCTAACTCCTACTGCCAATCCTTTGGACAGCTTTACCCCCATGAATTCAGATCCGATTGCACTGAATGTGCTTCCAGCTAATATATTTGGAATTGTAATTTATAGTTCTACCATTGTTTCAAGGTGCACATAAACAAACAGATTTAGAGCATTTAGGTTTATTTGAACTGGTATTTTTGGAAATCAACGTGGTTGTGGTTGTGGTTATGGTGAATTTTTTAATTTTTGCCATGAATTTGACAGTGGCATGGAGTTGAAAATCACAAGTTGTTATCCTGCCTGTGCTCCTGCCACATACATTTTTTCTTCATTTACTAGAAGACATGAATCTGTAAGAATTTGCTATTTCATTTTTAAGCAGTATTCAGGAGTCTGAATTGGATGGTTTTTCTTAGGTAAAAACAGTTGAGCAGGGAGTTAGAAAGGTAACAGGGGGGATTTTGCAATAAAAATTGTTCTTCCCTTTGCAACTAGTTGTTTTTTCTTTTTTAAAGTTTACAGTAGTTAGAAATCCTGGAATGACTTGTCAGGTAATTTACCAATCATAAATTGGGGGGAAATTTTTTTCATTTGAACTTTCTTCTAATCAAATCACAAAGGAATCAACTATTGGCTAGATTACCCCCTTTTATTTTTATGTTTAATTCTTTTTATGTTCTATAATGAAAAAGTTATCATGATTCATCGAAAGTGGAATACCGAGTTTCATAGGCTGCTTGCTTTCTGTACATTGAGATCCAGTGTGAGTAGCAGCCTTTCTGCAGATCGTTCCTATTCTTGCAGAATTAAGCATACTCAGTATGTTGCTTTTGTTTTTTCCTTACTAGAATTGGAATGGTATAGTTGGCTGTGGAAATCACAAGTCTAATATATCTGATTTTTGCTGCAGCTGCACTGAGGGTTCTAGCTCACTTGCCATTACCTTACGCTGCGCTGAGTTGCCTCATGATTGTACCTACTCCTTTAAGGGATGCTGTTTACGATCATGTTGCCAAGGAGAGGTATAAATGGTTTGGGAAGAGTGATGACTGTTTGGTCCTCCGGGAACAAGACTTGCTTGACCGCTTCATTGATAGAGAAGAGCTGCTTGAACGTAGCCGATCAGTCTTGTGAAATGCTGCTTCAATGAGTATGAGAGTGGAGGTCGTTTTTAACAGGAAGTTCCAATTAACATTCTTTTGGAGTTGTACGTATGTAGTCCATCCATAGTATACATACACTAAATATAATCACGAGTGTGAAGAACTGGGAATGCCTTCGTTTTTTGTCATTGACGAAAAGTACAACACGTTCAAGGGGAGTATACTATCTGTCCAGTTACTTATGTAGACTTTCTTTATAGTAGATACTTCTGACTTGTTGGTTAGCTACTCGCATTCAGTTGTACATTTGAACCTTTTACCTGTTGAGTGCTTAATCATTCAAAAGCGACGTTTGGTTTCATAATAGTTTTCCATGGTTGTGTCTCCTTCCGTTGCCATGCATTGTTAGGATTTTGCCGTGATTTTCTTACCATAATTTAAGATTTATTTTTCTTTAAAGAAAAAATAAAACATTACCATAAATGTTTTTACTTTTCTTGAAAGGAAAATATAGTATTATTTTATATTTGGTTTATTCTCTCCTTTAGGACACCTTTTCTAGTAAGAAAAGGTTTTAGGACTCTATAAATATAGGTTTGTTTTCTTCTAACACATATAACAATAACATCCACAATGTAGTAGTTTAAGAGTCTTGTTTATGAGGAGATCTATTATCTCTAAAGTTTCAATGTTTTTCTTTATATTAGTTTTGATATAATAATATTTTGATTTTTAGTATAAGTTTTTGTTATTTGATTTATCAACTATATGATTTGTAAATAGTAAGCTTCCGCATGACGTCCAATCACCCTTCAGAACCCAACATGCATTACCTTGTAATGTCTTCCATGGCACTGTCTTCATCTTTTCGTTGCCTTGCTTTATTTTGTTAACTTTATGTAATCTGTTTTACTTTCTACTATCTCATTATATAACTCTTGAATTCTTTGCTCACCTCTGAAATCTTGTGTTAAGTCGAATGCAAATTCTAATCGACCTTCAAATATAATGGTTAGGGTGGGAGAAGTAATGACATTTCTGCATGTAAAACTTTTCATCTACATGCCTATGGAGGAAATTCCTTCTATCTATTACTGGTGCACCATTTTAAAGGTGAATATACATATTGATAATAGATTTAAGATGACATGTACTACATTGGGTTGGTGTTAAGGAGTTTCTTGAGCAATACATTACCTTATTCAGATCGTATAATAACTAATATTTGAAAAATGAGCATAGAGTAACAATGTTAAAACATTAACGGTGAGCATAATAATATAACAAAGAGCCATCGTGAGAATGAGAAACATTTCTGACTAGTTTCTCTAATTTCTAGTCCTATACTATCACATACTACTGTAAAGGGAGTTCCCAACAAAAAAATAGCATGCATCAAAACTTCTGGCAACAGATCTTGGTTGTTGGATCATCTTTTCTTGCCACTATTCGAATTCCTTCTGGATCTTGGTTGTTGGATTATTTTTTCTTACCACTATTCCATTCCTTCCAATCATTGTCAACATGACTTTGTGCCCATTTGACTGCAGCACGCGCAGCCTGTGGTCCTCCTGGTAAACCTCTGTCGTTTATGGTATCTGCCATATCGATGAATGGAACAACCAGTAATGTTCCTGGACCACCATACTCAGCATGTAAGAACTCGTTGAGGATCTGTTCAATAAATTATTTGAACCAGTGTTATTTACATTTCAGTATTCAGCTCCTGGAAAAATGCAGCTTCAAGCAAGAAAATAACAAGTGCAAACTCAAAAACCTATGAGGAAAAAGCATCTTGGCCAAGGGAAAAGATGCTGTGCAAAAGATTTACATTCAACTTCCAAGGATATTGGTAAAGTTTATACTAAACCGTGTAATATAGCCCCAAACAAGACTTTTCACTGCTTTCTCTATTTGTTCCTTAGCAAGTACTTCGTCCAGAAAAAAATGGAAATCATATACAGTAATATCAATCAATCAACCCAAACTCAATCCTAAGTTAGTTGGGGCTATGTGAATCTTCTATATTTAATCCGCTCTATTAATTAGATCCAAATGGTGGCACACGTAACTGCAGTATCAATTGCAAAACATGCCTACCAAGAGGTCCTAGATTTATTTCATTGAAATCCATAGCCTTTAAGCTATTCAGTAACTCCTATTACAATGGGTGATAACTGATAAGTACTGTGATTATCTAACAGCTAAAGAGAAACACATCGACTGATAGTGGAATCCTGCAGAAATGAACATACCATTATGTCTCACACTACATAATGTCATCTAAAGCATAAACAATTTTCGGGCTGCAATGCAGGATTCTTGAATTACCATTACATCAAAGCCAGCAGAAAAGTAAATATTACAGGAAATAAAGGTAATTTATGCTAAGTTAGTATCTTCTCATTTGTTCAAATTTTGGTGAACAAGAGTAAAGATGCAGGCAATGGCGGAGTACATAGAACGAATGATGGTCAGTTGAACACCCTTCATCAACAAATTATATGCTTTTTACAGAGAAAATTATACTGCATATATAGGTCAAAAACTATTTTTCATACATACGTATTAAATCATGAACACCCTCGACGAAAATTCACGCTGTTAAGCACGTTTTATGAGGGAGAAGCAGGTATCGCGATTACATTGGGTATGTTGTTGTAGAGTAAGATATCAGGTATCGAGTAAAATTAGTTGAGCTATACGCAAACTGACCGGAACAGAATTAGTGGATGAAACAATAATGGAAGTACCTCAGTGCAGATTCCAACAATTTCTTCAACAGAATCTCCATAGACATCCTTCTTTGGAAGTTTCTTAAGCAAATGATCTCTGAACTTCTCCGTTTCCTAAAACCCCAACAAAACCCAATAAAAATCCGAACATTTTTTACGAACGGGTGAAATAAAAGAGACCCAATTAAACAAAAGACGACGACGAAGAAGAAGAACAAGAAAACTTACAGCATCAGCAAACTCAGGAATGGGGTCAGGGAATTTGTATTCAGCAGCTCTGCAAATAAGGTTTTGTGGGTTTCTACTACTGCATCGTTTGGGAGAAACCCAAGTGGAAATACATGTGTATGATGAAGAAGATGAAACCCAATTGACTGAATTTGAAATTGGAAGATAAACAGAGGGCGAAGACGAAGAAGAAAGAAGAATGGATGAAGAGACAAGTGAAATAGCCGAAGCCATCTTAGCACCCAGAGTTAAACACAGCCCTTTTCTCTTAAAATATAAAATCTTATCTATACTACAAGTATAGCTTATTGCTGTCTTTTTTTCAAAATATTCGAAAGTAATATTTATGTGTTAGTTTCATATATTTCTTCCCCAACTTTCTATTGAGGGAGCCTTACAAAAAATATCGAAAAATTATATCACCAAAATATTAATGAACTAAATATGTGCAAAAAATGGAGAGGCTTCACGTACTGCTCCCCCAACTCCCTATAGAGGGTTCTGTAAATGTGTGCTTCAAAATAATAGCCAAAAGTTATTTCACCAAAATATTTCATGTGCTAACACACACGAAAAAACTAAAAAAATTGCCTAGCTCCTAGCGCTCCTAAATGCCCAAAATATGTGCAAAAAATGGTGAGGCTTCACGTATTGGTTCCCCAACTCCCTATGGAGGGTTCCGTATATGTTTTGCAAAACAATGGTCTAGAAGCCAAGTCACCAAAATAATCATGAGCTAACACACGAAAAATTGAGTAAATCTCCTAATTCTTGTAAAATAGCTACTAAATGCCCAAAATATGTGCAAAAAATAGTGATGCTTCACATATTGTTGCCCCAACTCCCTATGCAGGTTCCGTAAAGGTTTTGCAAAAACATCATTTGTAACCTTTTGTTTTCAAAAAACCAGAAGGGAAAGACGAACATAGGGACTGGACTTCACATTTTTGCTCTTGTTCTTGATGGTGTGTGTTTCGACATTGACAAGAAAGAAGGCAACTATTTTATACATGCCCTTTGATACACCTATATACATAGTAGTAACTATTTTAATCACATAACATTTTGTTCCATACATTTCAGACATGGAGTTCAAAACATCAGCTTGATCAAAAAAAAAACTCTCCCTTGGATTTGAGTCCGGTGTCCTAAGTCCCACGAAGAGCTAGCAAAAGTGGCACAGCTCAAGATTCAAATCTTTGTTAGGGATTCTCATAAATTCCTTTCATGTGGTTCCAGCGCGGGAAATCCAAGGAATTCGAACACTTGCTTCTCAGTTTCAAACTTCAAGCTTGCACTACCTTTAGTCTGTGTAGTAGACGCCGAATTACACCAACACGAAAATGAAGAAACAATGAAAGACAGGATAAAGTGAAACATATGTTGCAGCCACAAAAGCAAACTATTTACCCGTTTTCCACCAGAACTATGAGTAGCTGGATATAGCCCTGTATCATCCAAAAGAAAGCCCTTGGATTCTGCTAATAATCTAAGCCTGTAAAAAACATTGGAATAGGAATTTGATTATAAAGAAGTGGCCGAAATGAACACTTGGTATAGCTGGGGTAGCGAGTAAACGAGGCATACCTTCTATTCAAGACGTCATTTCCCGTCCATGCTATCAGTCCAAATGCATATATATCCCTTGGATACACCTAACAACAGAAATCGAGAGGCTGCAACTTTTACATACTCGTGTTTGATGCAGGTTATTTTCCAGCAGCAATGAATGAACAAAAAAGTAAATCCAGATCTTACACTTAACATATAACAAAAGTGGTCAACAGTTAAAAGGACTTGGAACCAATATGAGACAAAAGCTATTCTCACACCAAGCTACTTTTCTTTGATTATTTTTTCTGTTTATTCTCAAGAACGAACACGTCGGTGATACTCAGCATCTCATATATCATAAGAACTTCTTTTTAGAATTGTTTTTTGCAAAATTAATTGCCAAATTCAGGAAGAAGGATATGCACTCCTTATACTTGTTATTAATGGAATTGACCACTACATCTGTAAAACACCAAAAATATTGCAGAACAAGGATATGCACTCCTCTTACGTGTCATCAACTGAATAGACCACTTAATCTGTAAACAACCAAAAATATCTGACAAATGACATCTCATCAGTATTACCTTCAAGTCAATACGATGTCGCAGTTCTCGACCAGGATAGGTGCAGAGGCCAAAATATGTGTCAACTCCTGAATCTGTACCCTGTGATCATATGAAACATTACTTCAGTTTCACCGTTAACAAGAATAAGATTTCGTTTAGTTTGACATTCAGTAGAAAACGATTTGAAGAAGATAGAACTATAGCTATTAGAATTAATTTTAGTTTCTTAGACAACTCCATGAAAACTACAGCCGTGAACCCACAAAATTCTCTGAGAAGAAAACATACTTTGAATAGTGTCTGTCGAATGAACAAAGCAAATAAGTGAAATCACGTTACATTCTGTTCAAATCCCGAACAACGCTTACAATCTAGATAGGAGTAAGAACTAAAGGTTGGAGTAAACTTATCTCGACACTACTAATTTTCACAATTGCCCCCATTGTCGTAGATATACCACTATAACAACAGAAAGGCACAATAGATAAAATACGGCACCAAGCTTTGGATTGACGAGGTTAACCATGGAAGTGGAGTTACTATTACTAATTCCTCCAGGCAAATAGAATAAAACAGACTGTCCGAGTTCACCTAAATTGACACCTGAACTTTAATAAAAGGGAGAATGAACAAAAGGTAAATTGGAAGTTTAAAAGCTCCAGTTCAAGAAAACATAAAAGCTCAAAATGAAAGACAGCTGAGAACATGATTAATAAAGAAACATAAAGAGGACAGGTTGTAAACTGAAAGTAAGTAATTACCTCTGTGCTATGAACACTGAAGACCAAATCTTCTCTCAAAAACTCCATGTCCTTTAGACGCTTTACAAACTTAGGAAGAAAGCCTTTATGACTGAAATAATGAAGCAAAATTATCATATTTTTCAAGTATCTGAAATGAAATTGACATGACAAGGAGATTAATAAAAATATTTAGGGTCTAAGCACAAATACTACAGGGAATCAGCAAGCGCGTCAAGCAGAAACAAGTAACCAAGGTGGGTGGGTTAGTAGAAGATTAGAGAGGGAAAAGAACCACCAAGCACTGGAAACACTCTTAATCCTATTTCATTTAAGGTTTAAATGGAATATTTGTGAAGAGAAACATGGAGTAGATTATAAACATCAAAGTGCAACACGCCTCCCCCCCCCCCCCCCAAATAAACTTTTACAACATCATACAGAAAATTATTTCATCTTTATTATTATGAATATACATTGGGTATGTTGTTGTATAATTATGAGTACAAAGGAATCGAAGTCCAAAAGTGGTTTCGTGTTTCCTGTAGAATTATCTGTCGAACAACCTTCAGATTTCATAGAGAAAAGCTAAGTATAAAGAAATCTATGTGAGAGTGAGACATAAGCCCTACATTGGGATGTGAATACCTAAAAAAGAAGTTAAACCAGCATACACTTGAAATCAACCAAACTAAAATGGAAGGCCTTTTTTGAGAGATTACCACGAGTGAGCCTTACCTTTTTCTATCAGGATGAGTAAAAACAATATCCATATCACCACAAGAAGCCTTTCCACGTCTATATGATCCTCCACACACAACAATCACCTAAAGCAAGGGATTCATTATATAAAAGTTGCATGTTATTTTAACTTCTCTAGCCAAGTTCAACAATATCATAACGTTATAGACCAAACTTAAAACCAAAATATAGTTAAACATTAAATTATCTTAATAAGTGAGTCAAACCCAAAATGATAAAATTGAAAGAATTGCAAAGCAGTTCTCCACGCCCCCACCCCCCAGAAGAAACAGAAAAATTTCAAATTTGAGTTATTTTCCATGCTAAAAATGCAGAATAAGATCTAACTAGTTGAACATATATCTTCAGAAGAATTTATCGATCCAATTACTTTTTCTTCATAATCTTCCTCGACAATGCTTCTTAGTTTGACCAGCATCAATAATCCTTTTGCAAATGGGACCATGACTGTAGGCCCTCCAATTCCATTTAGTCTCAAATATATTCAAGCTTATAAGCATCTCTTTTCCACTTCAAGACTGGAATGAGCAATGTCCAGCAATTCGTACATTAACATGAAAGTAATGTTCAACAAGTAATTGGACAAAAGCCTTACACCAGGCAAAATTTCCTCTCCAACTTCCTGTAGCAGACGTTCCATCTCTTCGACCTACATAATCAATCATCTCTTTAGAAAAAGCAACAAGTAGTCATGATAGTAAAAACAGCAAAGCATAATAGGCTACCTCATGCCGTGGAATCCTGGTTTGGATGTCATCAAAATATTTCAACCCTAACCTTTGAGAATGAGTCAGTGACTCCTCATTTCTGAGGTCATCAAGAGTTCGGTGTCCTTTCTCATAAAGTTTTAGGGCAGTGGCTGGACCAATACCCCAAACCTCTCCAAATAAGCTGATTGTTTTTACCTGTAAAGTCATGATAATGTCAGAAGAAGGGCATCAATTTTTTGCTTGCTCAGTTCAGGTGACTCTAGAGATATTTTGATCGAGTGGTCTGAGAAATGATCTCTTCGAATATTATAAGTGCATTATCCATTTTCCTAACGAAAGCTATAAAGCACTTGAATGTGCTCTAAACAATTATTACAGACAAAATCTTGCAACACCTGGTTAAACTCCTACTACAGGGAGATTAAGCCAATAAGCTTTCCAGAGAGCAGTATAATGTAAGTTTGGTTAAAATTAGCTCTTCAGCTTCAAATTACTTTAGAATAGCCAAACAAAATGTCTGAATGTATATGAAGCTTATGCTGCTTTTCCTTTCCCTATTTTAAATACAATACTAAACAGTGTCGCAGTTCAATTCCTTCCATATGTGAATCAGCACAAGGATACAGAAAGAAGAAATGAACAAAATATACGAACATGAAGTATGCTAATAAGGCATAATAGCACGATTTTGAAAGCTTTTGACTTCTGTCAACATATTAGCAAAGATTGATTATTGAGCCAGAGTCCAATAACATGTAGGAGCAGCACACACATACACACAAACAGTAGAGCTAATTCAGAAAAGATCGACAAATTGCTTCTTCACAATTCACTAGAACAATGCAAATCAGGTACAGATCTCGCAATGATCATTGACAAGTGACTTGAGCTACTGCTAACATATTGAGCGCTTCTGACCAGAAAGATTCCCATAACATCACCTTTTCATCCTTCTCAAAGTGTTCCAGTTTGGACAGCTTTCCTGTGGTCACTATCTCCTGAATCTGCAGTCAAAGAACACTATCCTCTTATTCGGTAGATTTAACTGTCCTCTTATTCGGTAGATTTAACTTTAAGCTGGAGGCGAAGGTATTCATGATCAGGAAACCAAAATCCAAGAAAGTGATTTAATGGATAAATGGTTCCGCTTGTCATATCAATCTCATTTCATGAAGTTTGAATAGCTAGAAGCCAACCTCTGGTAACCTCACTCGCGCAAAAAGCAATTTGAAATGGTGTGAAATAAATATATTTCTAGTAAGGCTTTAAATAGAGGAATTCACTTACATGATCTTGCATCGACTTTCCAATAGAAGGTAGGTGCTTAACCTGGTCCACACTCTCAATTTTGAATGGCAATTTCTCAATAACTGGTATAGCTTTATAATAGCTGAATGATCTCCGGTCATCACCCAGTGCTATAATTAACTATCAGTCATCGTATCATACTTTGAAAGTTTAAACTTTTAACTCAAAGGCATTCGTGAGAAAGAAGCTACAAAAATAAATCTATGAAAAGATATTTTACCTCTATATATGTTGAGAAGCTTCCCAAATATCTGAGTGATATTTCGGTTTAAATCCGGAGGCTTATAAAGTGAAGATGAGTCTGATGTTCCAACCTGGTAAAATAATGGTGGAAATATAGATGAAACGGGTGAGAATCGTCCACATGGCAACACCTGTACCTCTGCTCAGGAAAACATATCAAGCAAGGGGAATTTGCTGCTGAACTTACAGGCTTATTAAGAGAATCAATGGCCTCAGGACTTGTCACTTCTGGGCTTGAAGAGCGTGATGCGAGTGAAGAGGCACTTTTAGTATCTCGTGAATCAACACGGTCTTTATTGTCATTCATGTGTCTTGGGCTTGAATTCTTGGCATCTTCAGCAGATATTCGACTTTTCTTTAGTGCAACTCTAGAATGACCGTCATTATCAGCTTTAGGACTAAGGGACTCTCCTCCTCCTGATTGCAGGGATAAGACATACAGATCCTCAGATGCTTTTTCTCCTTCTATTAAGCTGTCCTCTAGCCACTGATATGCGAGAAGTTTCTATAGAAAAACGAAAAACAATCACCAAGATAGTTGGAAAAAGAAACATTTTTTTATCAATCACTACAAAATGCATCATCTGTCAAACAGACAATTTGTGTAAAACAACATATTTAGGTCACCGAAGCCCATTGAATATGAAAGGATTTCAGAAGTTCGTAACTATATGACGAAAATTATAAGCCACTCCTAAAAGGTTAGCAGTAATATAGAAGAATTTCAGAATTCTCAACTGTCCTAAAATAACAAAATGTTACCTTAAAGCAGCCTATCAAAAAGATTAGTAATTTGAAGCAGCAGGATAAGAATGACATCAGCAAGAAAGGTCAAAAATCTTACAAACAAAAACCATATATGTGAAAAAAACATTGAAATTTGAAGAATCCAAGAAAGTAATGGATCAAGAATAACGATAAATTGGAATCCAACTGACCGACAGAGGAAGGCATATTCACAGATGGAAGAGGATATATTATTAGCGAAGTGCCCATTTACTCAATTATCACTGAGAATTCTAAAATGCTCAACCAAAAATTAGGAGTTGTCTTTTAAACCTGTTCAAATTCTAGTGCTATTTGTCTGACTAAAACCCCTGTCCATCATTCTAGGGCCAAGCATATAGATATAAAGCATCATTTTATTTGAGATCATATTATAAATGGTGATACTGAACTTTCTTTTGTGAGCACTGAATTTTAATTGGCTGACATTTTTACAAAACCCCTGCTTGAAGAAAGATTTTGCACTCTCAAAGAATTATTTCAATCCTCTTTTATTTTATGACTTCATGTTTCCTATGTGAGTTCATTATTTGTTTCCCTCTTTTTCTGCAAAAATTCTTCCTATTTGCTGCCTTCTCTCGTCTTTCCATAATTATGTCTTTTCCTTTCACACCACAAACCCTTGAACTGCCTCTAACTTATATCTCTCATATTCGTTCCTTTTTTTTTCACTCTTCCAAGAAATCCTATTTTGAAAAAAATTCTCATGGCTAAATCACAGAAGTGCTCCCCTATAATCACTTGCAAGAGTGCCAAAAACAAAGGAAAAGGAATCTCCCCTTTCCGTCGATTTTGATTTCTCTGATGAATCCTTTCACCCATTGTCATTCCTCTCATGGTTAAGCGGTCTGGAGACTATGATACTTCTGGAGAATCTAAGAAAAAATTCAAGTTTGATCTTGGTAGTTCCTTGGATGTCAAAATTGACTTTTGGTGTCCCTCTAATGAAACCATTTTTCACTCCCTTAAGAACAAAACCCTCGTGCATGGTAGAATCGTGGATTTGAATCTTCTTCTTTCCCTTCACTGTCCAGTAAAAGACTTCTTCGAATTTCAGGGATGGGCAAACATCTTCTCAGCCCCAAAATCGCCTATGAACCTTTGTTCTGTCTATTTTATGCTAATATCAGATCTTCTAAGCGTGGCAAACTGAAAACTCTCCTTCTCGGTAAACGATTTTTTCTTGACTATGATATCTTTGATACTTAAGAGTTTTTCACCACCGCAGAGAGACCAAAGCAATGGATTTCAAAGTTAGTATCAAAGATATCACAGTCAAGTAAAATTCGTTTACCAAGGAGAGTTTCCAGTTCACCACGCATAGAAGATATGAAATTAGCATAAATAGGCAAAACAAAGGCTCATAGGTGATTTTGGGAGTGGTTGAGAAGATGTTTGCCCATCCATGAAATTCGAATAAGTCTTTTATGGGACAATCAAGGGAAAGAAGAAGATTCAAATCCACGATTCTACCATGCACGAGGGTTTTGTCCTTAAGGGAGTGAAAAATGGTTTCATTAGAGGGACACCAAAAGTCGATTTTGACATCCAAGGAACTACCAAGATCAAACTTGAATTTTTTCTTAGATTCTCCAGAAGTATCTTAGTCTCTAGACCGCATAACCATGAGAGGAATCGGATCACAATGGGTGAAAGAATTCCTCAGAGAAATCCGAATCGATGGAAAGAGGAGAAGAAACAATTCTTTTTCCTTTGTTTCTAGCACTCTTGCGAGTGGTTATAGGGGAGCACACTTCTGTGATTTAGCCATGAGGAAAACTTCAAGATAGGAGAAATAGGACTTTTAGGAAGAGTGAAGAAAGAAAAGGGACGAATATGAGAGATATAAGTTAAGAGGCAATTCAAGGGTTTGTGATGTGAACGGACAATACAGCAAAAGGGCATATGATGATTATGGAAAGACGAGAGAAGGCAGCAAATAGGAAAAGTTTTGCAGAATTGAGGGAAACGAATAATGAACTCACATAAAAAACATATAAGGAAAGATAAAGTCATTAAATAAAAGAAGATCTGAAATAATTCCAAGAGATTCTCTGAGAGTGCAAAATCATTCCTCAACCAGGGGTTTGTAAGAACATCAGTCAATTAAAATTCAATGCTCACGAAAGAAAGTTCAATATCACCATTCATAACATGATCTCGAATAAAATAATGTTAAAAACATCTATTTTCATCGTCGATCTCTCCATTACTTTGAACTGAAGACCCAAGATACTTGGAACATCCCACCCTCTCTTTGGGATGACCTGAGCATCCAATCTCACTTCCATGCTAACCTCTTGTGTTGCATCACTGAACTCGCACTCCAAGTATTCTGTCTTGGTCCTAGTCTTGCTCAATTTGAACCCTTTAGACTCTAGGATTTACCTCCAAACCTCCAACCTAGTATTAACTCCACCGCGAGACTATCAACTAGTACTATATCATCAGCGAATAACATACACCAAGGCACTTCACCTTGGATATGCTGCATCAATCATCCATCACTAAAACAAATAAGAACAGATTAAAAGTAGCTCCCCAGTGCAACCCCATCATGAAGGGGAAGTGTTTCAAATCATCTCCCACTGTCCTCACCCTGGTCTTCCCTCCATATCCTTAATCGTCGTAGTGTAAGCTACAAACACACCTCTAGCCTCTAAGCATCTCCGTAAAATCACCCTTGGGACTTTGCCGTAAGCCTTAACTAGGTCAATGAACGCCATATGTAAAACCCTTTTCCTTTCCCTATACTTCTCCACCGGTCTTATCACTAGGTGGATGAATTCTATAGTTGATTGCACTAGTATGAATCCAAACTAGTTCTCGAAAAAAGATACACCCCTTCTCACCCTTATCTTCACCACCCTCTCCCAGAATTTCATAGTGTGGCTTATCAGCTAGATACCTCTATAGTTGTTACAATTCTGAACATCGCCCTAGTTCTTGTACAAAGGAATCATCATACTCCATCCCCATTCTTCAGGCATCTTTGTTGTCTTAAAAATGACATTAAACACTCCAAACCTGCCTTGCCTATGCTCTTCAAAAACTCCACCAGAATCTCATATGGCTTGACTACTCTTCCCCTACTCATCCTACGAATAACACCCTTATAATCTCTTCAATACCCAAAATCCTATCGGCTTTTTGAGTGCTCCAACGCTCCAACACAATGTCTCTATCCTCCTCTTCTTCCTCGTCTTTGACGCACTTGGTCTAGGTCTTGGGCCTTCGTCTCTCTTTCCTTGGCTAGACTGTACAACTTCTTATCTCCTCCTTCGTTCCTTGGTTTTCATACAAGCGATCGAAAGTTGTCGACTTTGCTGTCGTAACCACCGACTTTGTCTCCTTCTTTGCCACTTTTTACCTTTCCCTATTCGCTCGCTTATCCCCTCATCTTTTCCCTCCACAAAATTCACTAAGCCGACTTCTTTTCTTCCACTTTCCGTCGGACTTTACCATTCCACCACCAATCCCCTAGATGTCCTCAAAGCTACCCCTTGAAACCCCCAATACCTCTCTTGCAACTTCCCTAATGCAACCAATTGTCCTATCTCACATATTGCTCGCATCACCCCTGCTCCCCCAATTAGTCGACGCTCTCACAAGCTGACGTAGACACCAGGTTATCAAAAGAAAAATATAAACAAATTTAACTATAACTTCTACTACTAATCAATCCCAGACTAATGGACATATGGATAGACAAATATGAATTCCGTTCCATTTGGACACATTCTTCTATACTATCCAAACAAACTAAAGCTCCTAGTAGACACCAGTTCTCATGTAGCTGTACCAACATGATAAATACCCATTTAACCAAAAAAACAAAACATCAAAAAGTCTCAATTAAAGAGTCTACAAAGTATAAGAGTTAATAAAGCTCACAACTTTGGCGCGAATCAGACGTTCTTTATCAAGTTTCTGAAGAAGCAAATTTGCATCCATAGCAAAAACATGAGTGACATTTTTAGTAAACCGGTCCTCTAATTTAGCCCCCATTTGCACCAATTTCTGCTTCCATATCTGCAACCAAACAAATAAAATTCAAACAATTAAGAAAAAAAAGGAAAAATTTGAATAAAAGAGAAATTGTGGATAGTTCATCGGGTTGAAACCTGTAGCCGCCGGGATTGAACTCCGGTTTCGATTAAGAAGACAACCATACCAGAAAATATTCCGTTAGGATCAGACGGCGAAGATTTATCCTTCTTTGGCGCCATTACAGTCTTCTTCTGAAAGTTTCAGTTTTGATGTCTCATTATACCTGCCTCCATTTATAAATAACACAAACGGTCGATCATTTGAGGTTTTATAAACAAAAAAGCTATGAATAAATTATTTTATTTTTTTAATGTTATAAATAAAAATAATGTACTTGTTAGATTTAAATTTTTAAATAAATTTCATAGTTTAAAAACTAATACATTTCTAATGGATTCATAACGAGTTATTTCGTATGGATAGAAAATTAAACTCTAAGGAATATATGCATTTAAAATTAAGTTAAGATTTAAATTTTTTAAGTTTGATGTAAGAATTTTACAGTTATAAATTATTTTGTAAATTTCAATTTTTTATTGATATTATACAATTTGAACTGACTAAGATTTTGTCCAAACTTTTAATAAAAGGATATTGAGGTTGTTCATCAATACTTTCATATTCATTTTTATATTTGTCGTCTCTTGCTCTTACACTTAAATAACTTGTGCAATCATCTCACCTGTGTAAGTTTCAAGGATAGAAAGAGTATATATATAGTAAACATCAATAGTTTTTCGTGGTGAAGTTATGATCATAATTGATAGACAATGTTTAAATACAAAATTTCTCTATTTGTACTTGAAATTTATTATGTGTATGACATCAATGATGACTATCATAAATATTTATATAGGATCAAACTGAATTATGCGAAATAAACCACTAATACCCTCTGATATATTTTGGAATAAAAAATGTCTTCGCCATTATCTCAAAAGACCACAAATACCCTTAACAGTTAACAACCTAAATTTTTAGTGATGTGACAAGCTACATGTGACTAATTCCTCACCTAAGCGTTGCCAATTAGGATTCCCACTAAATCTCAAAAATCAAATTTAAAATATAAGTTATAAAATTTTAAAACTTTGAATATTCAAATATCTATAATACTAAACTCGATAGTCAATACAAAATTCATAAATTCTTAAAATAAAATTCAAAGTTCAATCTATAATTTAAAAATCCAACTCTAATATCCAAAAAAATTCAAATTCAACTTTGATTTGGGTTGGCCAAAACCATTCCCACACCTAAACGTCATAAACTAAATAATAAAGATCACATAATTACAAAGTAATTTTCTTAGAAAGAAATCAGATTTAATGACCATTTACAAATCGAATAAAAGAAATTATTTTTCAAATCTATAAACATGAAAATAAAAATCTCTCCAAAAAAAAAAGAGTCAACATGTCGAATTGGTAATATCAAAACTACAAGGGCCTATTTGATATTCTTGAAAATGAGACTACCCTGTGCACAAATCTTATCTTCCCCAATGCTTCAAACAATTAATTACTAATACCTTAAACCCTTCAAAAACCCATAAAAGCAAACACCATTTTCTCTATAGCTGTTTATCAAGAAACCACAATTCTTAATTTTAGCAAAAAGGGGTAAAGCTGATGATTTTACAGCATTCAATTTCAATTTGTAAGCTATGGAGGTTGTCATCTCCACCAAACCTCCTCTTGTTCCGACCTTCTGTTGCTTACCAACCACAGTGTTGTCGGATTAGAGCATTTGGGTCTGCTGTTTCAGCCTCTAAAGTTGCTGAAGCAAATACAAATGAGACATTTTTTGCTGAAGAAAGTGTTTCTTGGACCTCTTTGGGTGTGTCTGAATCATTATCTCGTGCTTTATCTAGTATTGGCCTTGATAGACCCTCTTTAATTCAGGTATTTTGTACTTCTTTTCTGTTAAGTTTTGGTCATTATAGGAAATTGTGAGTAAAGATTGAATCTTTTTGGTTTCTTTGATTAAATATGAACTCCTTAAAAGCTGTTATGGTTGTATTATGTTATATCTTGCATTACTGAGTAGGTTCCAGCCCTATGTTGCTCGGTCTCTTCAAAAAATGTCGATAGATGTGTGTAGGATACTCCAAAAGTAGTGCATTTTGGAGAACCCGACACTGGTGTGGCAACAATTTTGGAGAGTCCGGAGCAATATAGGGTACCACTCTCTTCTTATGGTCTGTTAGTTAGATTTCTTACACGATTTAATCTTATTTTTAAAACTATATTAGTTTCTGCGATAAGTGCCTAATTTGAATTAAATGGGGGCCTGATAAGCAATTTATTTGCTCTATTGAGGTCCAAGTATTCAAAGGATTTGTTATTGTTAGACTATTTTTACCCATCAAAGGTTGCATCACTCCTCCTTCATTTGAGTTAGTGACCAGGTCTTCTTTTGGAAGCTCACATAGGTCAAGTTTTTGATGAGCTGGTGCATAAAAAGAAACTTTTTAGAAAATAACTAACAAATTTTCAGTGCATGATCAATATTAATCAAGTTATCCCATAATCACTTATACCAATGATCAAAATCACTTTCAGAATCTGAATCACTTATGTATTTGATCATCAGCACTCCTATAATCTGAACCAAACTGGCTATTTGGTTGAATGTGCTGTTATTTGTGGATTTTGCATCACATTATTATGTACTAAGAGGGAAGTGAAATCATGTCTTCAAATATGCACACGGAGATCATTTAGTGCTCTTCATTCTAGACTTGTAGTGCTGTGGGTACATGTGGTAGGCTTGGTAGCAAATGTGGACATGCTATGGAAGTTTCACTGAGAGGTCACAATGGATTAAGTTAGTTGGGAGAAAGTCACGTATAAACTCTATAATCCTCAAGTATCTCATTTGAATAGTTCAACTGTTCAAAGACCAAGTAGCTAGACAAAACTGAATTATATTTAATACTCAAGGCTTCATGTTTACTTCTCTCTGTATTAGAGTTCTTGCCCCTTGTGTGTTCTTTCTTGTGGGGTCTAAATTTGTGTCATGTAAAGATACAAGTTTGTTTCTGATGTATCATATCCTTTTCTTGGAGACACATTTCATCTTTTTGCATAAGAGCAGAGTCACAACTCACATGAATATCTTTTATTGATGTAGTAAACCTAAGTTACTCGGACTCGGGTGCGGGTGTCCGATACGGGTGCGGATCTAGAGGTCGGATCCTCCATGCTCTAATTTTTTAAGATTCGGGGATATGGATTCATGTATGGATATGGGTGCGGGGATTCACCTAAAAATAATTAAAATATCTAAAAATAGAGTTATAATACCTAGTTATGAGATATTTTGTGGAGAACTTGAGTAGAATCCTGGAAGGAGATTAAAGGAGTGACGTAGAAATTTCTACAAAAGGTATTCCATTTTCTTCAATTTCATCTTAGCTTTTGTATTGATTATAGAAATCATTAAAACCGTCCAAACTTTCCCCATCGATTTTGGTCAAAGTACCCAAAATTGGTTGACCAAATCGGACACGGATCCCACACCCACACCCACACCCATGTCAAGTCGACACGGATGCGGCACCAAAAGTGAAGAGTCCGAGCAACTTAGTAGTAAACCGCAAGCCCCTCTCCCTAGAGTCAGATGTGACCTTTTTCCCACTTTGCTCCCTTGGTGACTCAAAAGTTTCAACTCTTTGCAGAATATTCACCATGTGAATTTTTTAGCTTATAGCACCATGATATATGATTTTAGTTTTCTTCTGAGTATATCTTTCAATTATTGGTTGTAGTGTTAAATCTTATAGTAATGATATATAATCTCAAATTCAGGCAGCTTGTATACCAAGTATACTTTCAGGTGTTGATGTGGTGGTTGCTGCAGAGACTGGTAGCGGCAAGACTCATGGTTACCTAGTGCCATTGATTGATAAGCTATGCCAAATATCTGATAGTTCAGGGGCTATTGCTGGTCAGGATGTCAGGAAGCACAATCGTCTTTCTCTTGTTCTTTGCCCTAATGTTATGTTATGTGAGCAAGTGGTTCGAATGGCTAATAGTCTTTGCAATGATAGTGGTACACCACTTCTCAGTATTGCAGCTGTTTGTGGCCGACAGGTGAGCATTCTCATCGTGATTGTTTATCCTTGTTTACCTGTGAACACTGATTCTTTCTTGCTGTGGATCAGAGTTTTTTTTTTGCATGATGACATTTCTGTGAATGTTAATTCTGCTTTTCCTCATAAACTTGCAATGTCTTTAACAAATAAGAAATTTAATGCAGGTCTGGCCTGTAAAAGAACCAGATGTAATGGTGTCTACTCCGGCAGCACTTCTAAATTATCTCTATTCTATTGACCCAGAAAGGCGAAGACGTTCAGAGTTTATACGTAGTGTTAAATATGTGGTAATAGTTCTGGAATTTTTGTAAATTGGTTATGAGAAAGTGATTTCCCAATATTCAGTCTTAGTCATTTTGGCGGTTTGTAGGTTTTTGACGAGGCAGATATGCTGCTTTGTGGAAGTTTCCAGAACCAAGTGGTCCGACTTATAAATATGCTTCGCTTTGATGAGAAGCAGTTATCTCGTTCTAAAAACTCTGGAGCTGAGATGTCATCAACTTCAGACTTGGAAGAGTTTAGGGACCTAAAAGCAGATTATGGTGAAGATGCAGATGAAGATGAAGATGAAGATGAGGATGAAGATACTGAAGTTGGCGAAGATAAAGCAAATCTAGAAACAGATACCAAGGGGTTAAAGAGAAGAGATTGGCGAAGAGTGAGAAAAATATATGAGCGGAGCAAGCAGTACATTTTTGTTGCAGCTACCCTTCCTGAAAATGGGAAGAGAACTGCTGGAGGAGTTTTGAAGCGGATGTTTCCTGAAGCTACCTGGGTTAGTGGAAATTATCTTCATCAGCACAGCCCGAGGTGCCACTTTTTTCTATGTTTCTTTTAGTCCCATAATTCGTTTCTTTTAAGTAATTCCTGGGGGAGGAGGGTAATGCTGACAAAATGGATAAAATTTTCAAGTATCTGTCCATCCCCCACTTAAAAACAGGTTGGAAAATTGATTTACTAGGATCAGATCAAATATGGATCAATCAATATAACCAATTATGGAAAAAGGGTAGAAGTATGCATATCCATATTATCCATGCTTCACTGCAAATAATCCTCTGCTCGAACCAAGGAACTCGTTGTCTTGGTCTCCACCGGTGCTTCTCTTATCTGCGCACCTCAAGGACTTCTCTGTTCATCAAGAATCATCTTCTTTTTTTGAATCTTTACATGCTTCACATTTCTGATGGAAATTGCAAGGCAGATGGAAATCTTCAAAAAAGTAGTATCTGAGTCACTTTGATGGAACCTAAATTAAAATCCCATCTCTAAATTCCAATCTTGCCGATCCCATTTGTTTTTCCGTTTTCTTTTTTTATTGATTCTCAGTTTTTGAAAATTGAAATAACAGATACTGCAGAATCTGAATTTTTAAGATTTAAAGATTTCATACGGAGTTTGACTAATTACTCATTTTTGTTTCAAATTGGACGTTAGTTTTGAACTTATGTTGGAAACTAACGGAAAATTATGTGTGTGCGAGTTATCATCTTATTGAGCAAAAAATTGGACCTTTATTATATGTTACTCGAGCTGAATTTTATCCATATTAAATATGAGTGGGTCGGATTTTTATTCGTTTTTTTGTCTTAAAACATTTTCAACCAGCCCATATCAATTTTGACCTGCCCATTTGCCAACACTAGAGCGGGATGGCAAGGATCAACTATTTCGTCTAATTTTATAGAAAGTTATGTAAGAGTTTGCGTCCAGATACTTCTTTAGGTCCCAGAACTTAACATCTTCACCAAGGAAATTATGTTGTCATTTGTGGATAGTCAAGTTCTTCTTTTGGCGGTATCAGTACTTCAGTTCAATGGCAATTCTTGTTATAATTTTCTGAGGAGCATTTTAACAAGTATGGCTTTTATCACCTCCCTGCTGTCACTTTAGGTTGGAGCAGAGGTGGATTGAAGTTTCAGTTGACACCCAAGTGGACATTCTCATAAATGCTGTGGAAAATGGGAAGTCTATGGCAGATAGTGTTCCTGGAGTGCTCCGAACCATGGTCTTTGCAAATACCGTTGACGCTGTGGAAGCTGTTGCTAATATCTTGACAGGAGCTGGACTTGAATGTTTCCGCTACCATAGTGATAGCTCTTTGGAGGAGCGCACAAAGAATTTACTTGATTTCCAACAGAAAGGTGGTGTTTTTGTGTGCACGGATGCTGCAGCACGTGGTATTGATATTCCAAATGTTTCACATGTTATTCAGGTTTGTTTTCTTAAGTGAATACATTGTTCTTACCTCAATCAGTTTCTGGTTGTTCTTTGATGCCTAATATTGTGGTTTAATCAATTAAAAAGTAAAACAAAATCATTTTTCTTTATGTTTTGTACCCAATACGCCTTATTGATGTCTCATTCACTAAAGAACATTTCTGCATTTTACTGCATTGCTGGGTTAATTGGCTAGTTGTACATTGATTTTATTAGAGGAGTTACTTAAGTGTACTTGTGATGCCATTATTGGCGTTGTAGTTCCATATACATCTATAGATAACGTGCTTTTACACAATTGTTTTCATGATAAGTTTTCCCCTCCTCATTGTAGGCAGAGTTTGCCACGTCTGCTGTAGATTTCTTGCACAGGGTTGGACGTACAGCTAGAGCAGGCCAACCTGGCCTAGTTACGAGTCTATATTCAGAATCAAACCGTGATCTTGTTGCTGCCATTCGTCATGCAGAAAAAATTGAAGAGCCAGTGGTACGTTCTATATCTTATAACACTTTAAGATCAGGAGAAAAAAGACCCTCTGAACTAGCTTAGTAATAGTGACCTAAAGAAGCCTATGTCAGACTAGCCGCTTTAAGTAGTTACCAACGTATAAATTTCATATAGTTATAGAAGTGTGTGTTTGATTCTAACAGTGAAATACAGCTCGTTATGCTGAAACTGATTTTATAAATAAGCAGTTACGTGTTTGGATAAAAGTGCTGACACTGTTAATAAGCAATTATCGATGGATTTCTAATGTGCTTGACACCTGCAAAAGTTGCTTCTAACTCTTCACTTTCTCGACGGATTCTTTATATACTCATCTTGGAGAGAACTAGTTCTGTTGTTATATTAAGATTGATATGTTTCCACAGGAGAAAGCATTTAGCAGAAAAAGGAGCTTTCGCAATAAAATCAAGAAAAGAGGCAGAGAAGCTTCCTCCCACATGAGGTGAAAATGTGATTTTGTCTTGGGAGTTAGTTTCTATTTGCATTTGTTTCTCCACACTGTTTGTATTTTAGAGTATTATTCTAATATCCCTTTACTGTAAAAGAAATTAATTAGTTCAGAGTATTTAATATGAAAGTTAACACATTTCCCAGTCATGAAGTGAAGTTGAATATAAAGATCACACAAACAAGTTCTATTTTAGGACTGAGGCGTAGTTGTTATTGTTTTTTGTTCACATGAGGTAGAAGCTTGTTAAACGAATGTTGAACCATATTTGTGAAAGGTTACAAATCTTTAAACATACTTTAAAAGACGATATATAGAAAATTTGAGTAACAAAAGATGCTACGTGATTTCTTCCTATCTCCTTATGTCTTCATGGTCAAAGTTACTCGATGAAAAAAACAAAAAATTCCATGTTTAATATAATCTGATTTCATGCAATCAATTGAGCTAATAAGCCATGAAAACAATACAATATAATAGACCACTAGCTAGCTTGTAAGCATTTTAGCTTAAAACAAGTGCTTAAACACATCTTTTATCTTATCCAAACGTTATAGAAGCGTTTAAAAGTACCTAAAATAAGTCGATCTAGACAAAGATAATCAAGGATTTCTTGTACTTCATCTAGCAAGCTAAATTTAGACTATAAACAAACTCATTAATAGTCTTGTCAGAGCTACCTCCTTCACTAACTGTTTTCTTAGCCAAATTTCTCAATTTTGTAGCATTTCTTCTAATCTCATAACTCTTTTCCCCTTTCATTACCTCCTTTAAACAAAACAACAACTCTTCTCTTTTAACAATTCCTAACAACTCATCCAACTTAGGCCTCACACCAATCTCCCATATCTCATCTATAAACTTAGCATCCGTCATTTGATCAGACCATTGTGGCATTGCAACCATCGGCACGCCAAGGCTTAGTCCTTCAAGAGTCGAGTTCCATCCACAGTGAGTCACAAAACAACCAATAGCTTGATTTGCTAGCGTCTCGAGCTGATTGCACCATGACACAATGAGTCCTTTACCTTCTGTGGATTCTATGAATCCTTTAGGCAATTTGCATTTTTCAGTATCTCTTACAACCCAAAGGAAATTCATGTTGATGCCTATTAAAGCATATGCTATTTCTTCCATTTGTTTTGGTGTGAGTGATACCATGCTTCCAAATGAAATGTAAATTACTGATTGTTTTTGCTTTGTTTTTAGCCAATTGAGACATTCTTCACTAAGGGGTTTCCATAGACTTGCTCCATAACCTTTGTCATTTTCTATTCTTCCATCCAAATATAAAGATGGCACCATTGGTCCTATCAACTTTGCTGGCCAAAACTTTGAAATTCCTCTTGCTATCTGAAAATTTTTATACAAAAAAAAAAGAGTTTATATTCATAACAATTCGAATTTGACTAATCAATCTGAAAAATATTTTGAATTTGTCCATGTTAGAGCAATATTAGAGTGGTAAGTTATGTTTGATCAATGTTCTATAAGTGCTTTTGAGAAAAAGGCTAGTTTTTTTTTTTACCCTCCCTAGGAGCTCCCACCCTTTTGCTTCCTTGGTGACTTGAACTCGCAAACTCAAAAACACTTACTCTCTTCGTTTCAATTTGTTTTCTAATTTTGACTTGACACTGAACTTAAGCAAGAAAATAAAACTTTTGAATTCTGTAATCTTAAACTAAAAATATGCAGAATATATCAAAATGTCGTATAATCTCGTGGTCTTAAATATGTAAAAAATTAAAATTGAAGAGTGACGGAAAAAAAGACATTTTTTTTTACATAAACTAAAAAAAATAATCAAATAAAAACAGAGGGAGTCTTTTCTAAACCAAACACTTTTAAACTTTTGGAGAACTTTTCCTTGCCACCAGAAGTCGGTGATAATGTATAACGAATCAAATCCAGAGAAAATAAAATATCAGGATGCCAGACAGAAAATCATAAAAGTGACAAAAGATAGGGGATACAATTATTGAAATGCAACAAAATATATGATTCCCCACACACATAAATGAAGTGGTTCACATTATTTTTGTTCATAAAACACCTCTGAAATTAGTTTCGCTTCTAAATTATTGATAGTTTTAAAAATATTTTTTTATTTGATTAACTAAATTTAAATATATTCTTATATATTTTCAATCTGTCAGATTGTCACATGACATAACAAGTGATTTTAAATTCTTATAGGAGCACGAGATTTTTAATAAAAGTCGAGAGAAGAGTTGAAAAAAGACGTACCTCTCCTTCAAGCTCTTGAAAAGAATTGTCAAAAATCCAATCAGCATTTTCCAGATTAGAGAATTGGCTCATTTTCATAGCTAAATAAGCAGGGTAACTTTCAGGCTCTCTAATAAACCCAGGAACATCAATTGGGTACAAACAAGGCAAACCAGGCAATAACAATGGCTCATTTTCTTCGATTTTCACAGGCAACGAAAACGTTCCATGGTGAATATGAGCAAACACAGCACAAACTGTAGCTGAATTCGTAAAAAAAGATGCTCCATATATCCCATGTTTTTTCGCGACATCAAGAGCCCATGACAAGAATGAATCATAAACAATGCAACTTATAGGATGTGTTGAATTTTCGTATTTTGTGATTATTTGTGATAGAGTTCTCGAACCATTTTCTTTGAACGATTTGAGGAATACGTCTGTATTTTGGGCTTGAGTGTAACCACCTTCGTCAAATCCATCAGAAATTGATTCAACTGAGATGTTAGGTGAATAAATAGAGTTAACAGTGTATTTAGTTGTGGCTATTGTTGATTTAACACCTTTTGAAGCTAAACGTTTTGCAAATTGGAGAAGTGGGTTAATGTGACCTTGGCTTGGGTATGGTACTAATATAACATGAGGTTGAATTTTTTTACCTACCATTTTTGGTGTATACAATATGATAGAAAAAAGAAAGTTATTAATGTGTTTGGTAGCGTTTTTATTTGAATGATAAAAAAATGAAACGATATCGAAGATTATTTATAGGACAATTATATGTTCTACTTGTGAGAAACTCGGCATGATGTCATTCTTACGCGGGGTTCATGACGTTTTTTTTCTTCAAAAAGTGATTTTATTTTGTGTATAAAAAGTGTTGATATTTTTTTCCACTTGAAGTACTTTTTTGGCCTATATATTATAAAAATTGTTTATAGGGTCCCCAAATCCTCAATATCATGATGTATTGAATCATCATTTTTGTTAAAATTTCAGATGGAATTTGCTTCCTTATGTCGATAGGCTTACAAATGAATAGGTTTTTGGATAATTCCTAACAATTGTTATTAGTCGTCATCATTATTAGCTGTCGTCATTATTGCATCCGCAACAGTTACATGTCGCCACCACTTAATAACAATTGATAATCATAATTATTAGTCACTATCACTACTAAGTTCTCTCTCACTCTAATTTTATGTGGTGTTTTTTCCTTTTTAGTTTGTCTCATAAAGATCATGTCACATTATTATTATAATTAGAAACAATTTAACTTTAATTCATCCTTTACCCTTAACGAAGAGCCTATTTGGATTAACTTAAAAAAATAGTTTTAAGTTAAAAAATAAAAAGTCAAACTGAAATGACTTTTAAGTCAAAAAATAAAAAGTAGGTAGGTCTAATTTTGGTTTTCAATTTTTTAAAGTCATTTTTAACTTATTTTATATTATTTTTAACTTTGCCAAACACTCCCCAACTTATTTTAAGTCATTTTTAAACTTATTTTAAGTTGTTTTTATATTTGTCAAACACCTCAGAAAAATAAAAATTGACTTAAAAGTAGATTAAACCAACTTTTAAGCCAATCTAAACACCATCGAAATGAGTCTCAAGTCTCAATTATGTACACAAATATCTAAGGATTATTTTAAATCACAAGTTTCAAAATTCTTTTTTTTCCTAAACTTCGTGTTAAATCAAAGGATACCATATAAAATGAGAGGAGGGCAGTGCTAGTTATACTATCAACCACCATCACCAATATAGCCGGCTAACACCCACAATCCATCTTAGCTATCGCGACCACCAAATCACCAAATAATTTTATAAAAAATATATTTTAATATGTTGATAAATTAAATTTACTATTGTATTTGAACTTTGTACTCTACTTAAATAGCAATAAATATAATTAATTTTTATACATTTAGATGTTGACAAATTAAATTATCTTAAATATTTGATACTCAAATCTCAATATAAATCTTAATATTTAGAGGAATAAACACATTACTCCTCTATTTTAAATTGATTGTCCAATTTTGACTAAACAGAAAATTTAACAAAATAAAAAAAATACTTTAAGTAAATAGAGATTATTTTTTTCGTCTAAAAGGTGTTGATATTTTCCCTCAAATGAAGTACTTCTCTATCCTATATACATTCTAAAAGCTGGTTATAGGGTCCCTCAAATCCTCAATGAATCAATATCATGAGCTATTCAATCATCATTTTTGTTAAAATTTCAGATGCAATTTGCTTCCTCTCTCACATGTCGATAGCCTTACAAATGAATTAGGTAATACTTTCTTCATTTTAATTTATGTGACCTAATTTAATTAGGTACTATGTTTAAAAAATATGAGAAGACTTTATAGTCTTATAATAAATAACTTTTTAAATAACTATTCTAGTCTTTTAAAACTCATTATCAACAATTCATCACTAGCTATACTACCGACAACAATCACCATTATCGCCAGTCAGCACCCAAAAGTTATTCTTAGTGCGTCATCGCGACACCTAAATCATCCAATAATTTTCTTAAAAAACATATACTTTAATGTGTTGATATATTAAATTTACTAATATATTTTAATTTATATGAAGTTTATACTCTATTTAATTTTCAATAAAAATAAATATTTTTTATACATTTAGATATTGTAAACTTTTTTATCTTAAATATTTAATATTCATATTTGTATTTTAATTCAAACGTCTTGATCATATGTATTTAGAACTACTATATTAATCTAAAAAGGGAATAAAGCTTAACACGGGATGCCTAGTTGATTACTTTTCAATTGATGCCTAATTGCCTACTTTTAACGCATGAGTTTTGATAATATTTTAAACTTGTATTTATTTTTTCGCACGTCTATATCAATTTTTAACTCATGCTTATTTCTAATGCTAAGCTATTTTAAATAAATATAAATTTATGCAATTATATAACTTAAGATAACATAATTTCTAAAATATCTTTTCTTTTTAATTAATAAGAAAAATCTTTTTTTTCCTTCTCTCTCTTAATATCTAAATACATCACTTCACATCTATATATAAGATACATTATAACTTTGTTTTTATACAATGTAGTTGGTACAAATGTCATTGTTGATACATTACCCCAATTATTACAACCTTAAATCAATATGAATCTGATTAGTAATTATGTATATGATACATAACTTATATACCATTTCTTATGTATTAGACGAAGGAGCAACGTATCCGCGAGTTTTGAAAAAATCAAAATTATTGCAATTTAAAAAAATTTCGGAATATGATATAATTAATTAGCGCTCAAATTATTAAGATTTATGTACTTTGTACTGGTTTTAATCTATACTTATTTCAATTCGTACAATTTTTTAGGCCGTACTTATTTTGAATTTTGACCAGTACAAGCAATACATGATTGAATGCCGCACGAATGAAATTGAAAAACAATTTTACACGACATTAAAAAATAAAACAAAAAAATCAAGTGTTCAAATTCAAATTGAATATTATCTGTTTTTTAGAATAATTATACAATTTGTAAGCTGCATATATGCTGTTGTGATTAATTTGAATTTGAATACTTGTATATAAACCAATAGAGACTCAACAGTAATAAAACGACACACACACACACACACACACATATATATATATATATATATATATATCAATTTTTTATTATTTTTTTTGCTTAGGATATATATCAACTTATTATTGAGATGAATAGAGACAAAAAAGACGGCAAAATGAGACAAGAATGGGAAATTCTTCCCTTAAACTTTATTTTCTTGTTTAACCATTTGGTGATCGGTATTTATTTTGGACTCGACTAATTGAAGATCATACTAAATAGTCCGATACTCCTATTTTAGAATATAAAGTGTTTTCTATTAAAGATAAGACCTTTAAATAAGCTCGGACTTCCACAAATAAAATAATTTTTTACGTAACTAATCAATTGAGTTACTAAAATTTTTTGATCAGTCATATACTCATATTTCTCCATTTAATAAATGTTTTTTTCTAGAAAAATAACTTGCGATAGTGAAACCTCGTACTATTAATGAATTGTGTATGTGAACATAATCAAGGAGGAAGACTTTGAGATAGTCAATTTAAATTTTGAGAGTATTTAATTCCCTATTATGCTAGAAATGAAAGTGACGTGAAAATCCCGGTCGGGTTTCTGAATATTTTTTATGAAACGAAAGTATTTAATTTTCATTTAAATAATGATAAAAAATAAAATTAAAAAAAGATTCTTAATTTTAATCGGATTGAAGTAGGATAAGTACTTGCTGATAAAATTATATATATATATATATATATATATATATATATATATAATATTTGAAAAAAAACATATTTTGATTTATTAAATAATAATAAAAGTATTTTTAGATTAAATTATTAATAATAATAAATATTTGCTACCCTCAATATATTGTAACTTGTAAGGCTATCGACATGGCCACTGGGGCCCGGAGTAAAGTATACTTTTAAGACACATGCATGGTGGGCGTCGATAAGGTTCTGGCGAATAAGACGTGAAGTTTTTGAAGATGAGGCGTGTACAACACGTTAACTAAATTACAACTTCAAAGAAGAAACAAAATAATTTTATAAAATGCAGGTGGAATGATATGAAAGATCCGTATACTTTGTTTCATTTGTCATTGGATTCTTATACTTATTACTTTGCTAACTAAATTTTTAAACGCATCAGAATATAATATTTTAAACCTCTCTGATCATTGACCCTAATTTATGTGATATTAATGTTGTTGAGTTGGACAAATACATAATTACATGTGTTTTAAAGCGAGTTAATATAATATTTTACGTTAAAAAATAATAATAATCAATTTTTAAAAATTATATTAAAAAAAAAAAGAACTTTCGCAAATAACCATTAAAAAATAGTCTAATTACGCTCCATAACTATAGTTTGCTAATTACCATTCGTAGTTACATGTTATAGGGAGGAGAGTGACGAGCGAGACTGGGAGAGGGAGGAGAGAAGCAAGCGAGAGAGGGTAGAGAGTGGGAGAGAGGTGAATTGTATATGTATATCGGTTATATAATTGTATATTACACATACATATGTATTTGTTTATTATGACGAGCGAGATTGGAAGAGGGAGGAGAGAGGCGAGCGATAGAGGACAGTAATTTGTATAATTCGCATCTCGTTTCTATGCTTCGCAGGTACGTTTGTGTAATTCGCGTGTTTTTGTATAATTGAGTAATATAAAGTTTGAAATTATACAAATATGATAAACTTCGAAATAACGAATTGATACAAACATAAACATATGAACTTTAAACAATTATACAAAATATATTATACAAATTACATTATATAAATTATATTATACAAAATCCGAAAACTACACGTTTATACAAACTTTAAAAAGTTATACACAAAAAAATTAATTTTTAAATTTTGAATCCGCCTCGATAAAAATCCGCGTCTCGAAATGAACAATTAAGATGTGACATGGATTGGGTTGTGACATGTGCCATGCTCAGTGATTCTATATATAGACAACAACATTAAGCGTGGTACCAGAAATGGAAATATCAACCGAATTTAAGGCACAATTATTACGTATGTTTTGCTGACGTCACTTCTCCATGTAAGCAATGACGTCACTCTACTAGTACCATATTTTATTAATTTG